AATATAATAAAAACCAAATGTGAAAAACTGCTTCTGATTTTTACAACAAGAAGAAATCATAAACTGGTGTCCAGGAAGTTCTAAAAAATGTTTTAAGTCAGAAAAAGTATCTGTTGGAAACACTGACTCAAATAATCCACCTCAAACAAAACTCTCATCTGATTTTATTTCAGCCCCATAAAGTCTAACCCCTTGCCATCTTCAACAGACCAAAAATATTGGTTGTAATGACCCTCGTCCAGATGCCCTCAGAATGACCCTTATTATTTAGTCAAGATGGTCTCCCTGATGGTCATCTGTCGGACATATTGGAAATCCCTAAATGGATTATCCAAGCTCACTCAATTTTTGGCCACTCTCAGAAGGGTCATCATTTCAAATTCATTCCTGTTGACTGACTCAAGACAATTTGTTGTACTTCATGAACCACTAGGTCCTTACAACCTTTTCAAGTCTTCATCTTTTTGCTCTGTTTGCAGTGGGCTAACAAAAATGATCATTCTTAAAAGTGGCTATGGACATGATTGCTGTAAGAAAAATCCCCAAATAGGATGATTCCATTTATACCATCTCAGAACCGGTGGGTTTATTTGCTCAGCACATTACAATGGAACACTTTCTGGCACTGCAGAAACTATGTCAATAGAAGCATGCCCTTAGGTCACAGCTTGCTGCTGAAAAGTTTTAAAGGTTACAAAGCCTTGGAATAATTTCCCAATGGTATTCAGACAGAAAAGTCTGTTTGAAATATTTTGAACTATAAATTTCATTTATTTAATTATATTTTCCATCCTCTTCCTGTAATGCCCCAAATTGTGTTTGAGTTGTCATGGTATTGAAAATTTAAAAAAATATCTGCATTTTGACAAAAGAAAAAAGTATTTCTGGAGTGGTTTAGTTTGTTCAATTTGATTTTATGGGAGATATGCTGAAATGTCCAGATATGATTTATATCCAGTTTGAAGACTTAGAGTTTAACATTTTAGAGGATAAATTTGAAAGGAGGCTCCAAGTTTCCAGAATTTTTTATTTATTTTCTAAAGATTCCCTTCCATACATATCGGTATTTTACTCTTCGCATTAATGCTCCAATGTTATATGAATAAATATCCCGAAGTCAGAGTATGGAATGTGTTATTGATTCAGACAAGGATGTAAGAAAAATGCCCAGATATTGTTTATGAATATATGTAATATGTAATATTATCTTCATTGCTAGGCAACACAAAGATTTTGCCATGATGTGCATCACTGTGATCAATGTGGAGATCTCATCTTGATATTGCCTTATGAATTTTCATATCTTATTGTGACTGATGTGCCTTGTCAAATTCGTGATAATGGGAAAAATTGCATATTTTCTTTAACTAGTTCCATAAAAAATTGGTAAATCCAATTACAAGTTGCTTTTGGATGCCATGAAATAACTCTCTACATCAGCTGCCAAAGGTCAAAAAAATATTTGAAAACTATACTTTCATAGATAAGAATTAACAATGGCAATGCTTTTGTAAAAAACATCCTTTTATCCTGTTCTTTAAAGATGTAATAAGAATGATATAAATGGCTTTTGGATTATATACGTCTGATCACAAATTACATATTTCACGTGTGAAGTGCGTTTACCTTGAACACCTCGTTGATGTGTGGGACGGAAGAAGGGCAATGCAATAATCTTGGACGGATGTTGGCAATGTGTAATCATTCATTCCAAGCACCACATATACCAACCAGACAAGTAAATATCACGATAATGAAAAACGCCATGGTTACAGCGCCCTGGACAGATTTACCCAGAATTCTGGGAGAATACCCAGTCTTTTGGTCTATAAGCGATAGCTTTCGACGCCGACTTTGGCCCAAGATCAGATGGCTTGGAATCTGTCATAATCAAGCGCTGATGGTAGGGCGTATGATGAATGTTGTGTTCACGTCGCTGATCACTTTCATATCTGGTCCGCCATTATTTTATAGTTAATCCTCAGTCAGTGTCATATCATGATTTATCCCACAAAGAATATGGGTGGATCTTGACGGTCTTACTACCTGATCTTCGCTGATGAGAATATGGCTTTCAAACAGGAAGAGCTGTTGCAAGAATCTTGTTCCAACTTCAAAGAAATTAGGCGATAACTTTCAAACTTTTTTATGCAGACATGATACTTATGGCTGAATAAGATGAAATTCATTTTTGTTCTGTTGAACCTTTTGAGAAAAATGTTTTCAAAGCAGATACTTTCGTCTGAGTGGTCTTATTTCATGAATCTACCGTGAAAATAATATCTTGGGAAGAATTTAGTCATAAACTTTTGAATTAGTTACTGCTGTTTGTGCATGGGTACCAAGACAATTGTAGAGCATTTTTTCATTGTTCTCATTCATACTTTTCGGTGAATATAAAATCAGCTTCATGTTCTTGCCTTCAAGTAGTGAGGAGGGCTAGGTAGTGTTCGAAATAGAAGTCAGCCCGCAGGCCCGAGACCAACAGATTAGTTCTTGGACTGATATTTATGAATTTGAGCAGGCCCTTACGGTAAATATATCATAACTCTGGGATTGCTTTGTGAAACAGGAAACAACTTCAGAGTGCCCCACTTTTTAATCCGTGAAGATCCCGGTTAGAATTGATCTTCAGCAACCCCTTCTTATCGTAAGAAACAACTAAAGGGATCGGGTGGTCAGGCTCACTGACTTGGTTGACACATGTCATTGTATCCCAATTGCGTAGATTGATACTCATGCTGTTGATCACTGGATTGTCTGGTCCAGACTCAATTGTTTACAGACTGCCGCCATATAGCTGGAATATTGCTGAGTGTGGCATTAAACAACAACCAGCATGGGTATGTTGAATTATGAGGTTAAAGAATGGATTAAATATTCCATGAATATGGAGAAAACAATTCCCTGCTGTACTTCCATAAACAAAGAAACATGGAAAACTCATAATGGGTCTTATGTATTCCAGGGGCGGTGAGGTAGCCCAGTAATAATGGGTTCTTCCCCACATGGGCACAATGTAAGCCCATTTCTGGTGTCCCCTGCCGTGATATTGCTGGAATATTGCTAAAAGCGGCGTAAAACCCAACACACTCACTCACTCTTATGTATTCCATAATCTGTCTCCTATTAATAGGGTTAAGGAAATTAGTCTGTTTGGGATTAAGAACAGAGAGATGAACAAATAATCTCAATACTGTTCTTGACTTCTCCAAATTTGGGTAGTTGACCAGTCAGTCACAAACATGAATCTCTACAAATGTAGACCCACTCCTGTTAGTTTGTCATTTGAGAAAAGAGTTTGCATCAATTTCCAGAATTCCCGACGGAGAACAACGGTTGAAGCTGCTAACACCATTTAAGCCAGGAAAATAAATTGGACCCGAGATTTTGTCAGTGTGTTGCTGACAGATGTTCCCACAGGGAGCAGAGCCAGTAATGTCTCTAAATCACTATTTCCTTACTTATCTACTGAGGCTGTATTGTATGGTGAAAGTGACACTGTTCTTAACCATGCATTTATTCTATTAATTTGGGCTACAAGATTCTATTTGCAGCATAACTAAACACGGGTGGTGGGTTAGCCTAGTGGTAAGAGTGTTCGCTCCTCATGCTGCAGATCCGGGTTCAATTCCTATCATGGGTACAATGTGTGAAGCCCATTTCTGTTTTCCCTCAGATAGTGGTGACAGTGATGTCTAATGTGATAGTGCTGGAATATTCCGTGCCAAAGAAAATTCAAAGAACTGTTTAAAAATCAAAGTGTGTTAATATGCATCACTTTATACGTAAGTCAAAGCAGAGGAATCCCTGTATTTGTGGTAGTTTGACTGAGTGTACATGAATCACTACCAAATAGTAGGATACCTGTTTTTACACTAAAACATCAGTATATCAAGCCCTACTGATGGCTCATGTCACAAACACATGCAAAACCAGGTCAGTTGTTCATCTCAAGGACCACAGGAACATATGGTATCAATCTGTGTCGGGAATTATATCAGAGATGTTCATATGACACACTTTGAGGTGAGGTGAAATTGGGTTTAACGTTGTTCTTGATAATATCTCGCTCATATGACGACAGGCATGCATGTGTATGTGTATGTGCGGCTGCTTGTGCTAGCCCAGACTTAAGCTGGTTTTATAGTGCTAACCCATTGAGATACCATGCCGCAGTGAAGCATGAATACCCCACCCAGACACATTATACTGACTCCGAGCCGACCAGTCCTTGTTGTACCCATTAATGCCGAGCACCAGGCAGGGACAAACAAGTACCATATTTTAACGTCTTCTGGTATGACGTGGTCGGGGATCGAACCCGCGACCTTCCGCTCTCCGGGCGGACGCTCTAACCACTACACCACGGAGGCGGTCTTGACACACTTTGAAATAATAATAGAAAGAACATCCTGAATATTACATCAAAGAAACAAATTCATGAAAAGCTGCTTGGATATTGCTTGTCATGAAGTGAGAGTAGACTGAGTTGAAAGTTGATGCCATCCCTCTCACCATACAGACTTGAGGTTTGTTTTTTGCCAATGAAACTAATGAACACTTTAATTATATCTTTTGTGTTCATTTCAAAGGGAAAATTAAAATAAATACATATATATATACACTCAATCTCGAGTTAATGGAAAAGACATCTTGAATTAGGTAAAGCTGAACCAACACAGTGTGTAACTGATGAAGACAGGGAAGCTAAGCTTGAGATTATGTATATTTATACAGTATACTGTAATTAATGTGAATCACCTGAGACATAATATTCAGTAGCATACACCATAGTTCTCTGTTGTGTATTATTTGTTTTCATTTCAGTGACTCATTTTTCTGGGATTTTGTTTCAGCAGATTCACATAAATCATTGATTATCAAATCATTCTATTTTTCATTTTTAATTTTTTTCAGAAATCATACACAGGGATTTACTCTCAGTTTGAAACACTGATTTACATCCAAGTTTCTCAGTATATATATATTTTTTTCAGAATTTAACTGCAATAAAGATATCAACAGCCAGATCCACTCCAGCGGTACGATAAAAAGCCCATTCCACCCAAGCCCCTACTCCGCTGGGGTGTCATGTACCTACAGTTTCACGGGAGTCGGACGAGAGAGGGTCCAGCTTAAGTTTGTGCATATGGATTTATTTTTCAATGGAGGAAATCCTACAGAGCCCCTTGAGTAAGTATACTTTTGAAACTTTTGAAATACTTTTGTATACTTTGGAAACATTTTGAACTTGATGATGGGGATTATTGTGGATTACAACTCTTTCATTGTGCATACATGCTTCATGGTGACAGTTGTTTTGAACTGCACTGCTACAGGGTGATTGAGTGAGTGAGTGAGTTTGGTTTTACGCCACACTCAGCAATATTCCAGCTATATGGTGGCGGTCTGTAAATAATTGCTACAGGATGGGTATTGGATGGACACAATGACTGTTCTGTATGAATAGGGAACATGGGAGGCTCAGTCATCTTAGGTGAAATTCACTTTGGAGAGTTACTTCCCTTGGGCATACCAAAACCTATGATGGTGGGTTCAAATACTGTTTTGCCCAAATTATGTTCTTGGTTTGTGAACAGCATACTAGTACCTATGCTAATTGGTAGAGGTCAGCATCTACAAATTGCATCACTTCAATCTCTTCTCTCACATTAAGCTGACATGTTGTGATATGACTGGGTCAATGGGGTACCCTAGTGGAATGTTTGCTCGTCACGCCGAAAGGCTGGGGTTTGATTCCTTACATGGGTACCATGTGTGAAGCCCATTTCTGGTGTACCCCCGCCGTAATATTGCTGGAATATTGCTAAAAGCGGCATAAAACCCAACTCACGCACATGATATGACTGGAATAGTGTTTAACACAGCTTTAAACCCAACTGCCTCACTCACTAACTAGTATGTGGATGAGATATTGAGAAGATACAGCTAATTCAGTGTATTATATCATAGACATTTTGCAGTATATCTTAACAAGTCAGATTAATTTTGGAAGAAATCCTGTATGCATGCTTCCACTTCTTTGAAATTTACAAAACTTTGTAAATCCCCAAATGCAGTACTAACAGAGCAAATCATAATTACTGAAAATCTAGGTTTTGAACCCTTGATCGGTGGATCCTTGCTTTGCGAAGGGAGGCAACCCTGTCTTGTGAATTGATGCAGTTTTGACCAGTGAACCTCATATTCTCCATTCATCACTGCTTCAAATATTACCTCTTCAATGACCTTGAAACTCAGGAAGAACAAACATGTTCATGCCTTTATCAAGGGCCTGAGTGTGATTAGTGAACCTTTTATCTCCCAGAACCTGAATAGAGGCTTTGATAGGACTTTAAAGTTTGAAGAAAATGAAGACATGGAACTTTTTATGGAGAACAATTTCTGTATTCTTTGAAACGACATTTCATGGCTACTTCTTGCACCTTCATCATGTGCCAAAATCACCATGAAACATTGTTATAAAGAATAAAGAAGATGTTATCCTTGCGAGTTTCATGTCTTCAGGATTGAAATATTTGAAGAAATGATCACATTGTTTAGAATTGTTATCAGCTATGGTCATATGAATTTGAACTAGACTTTATTTCAACTCAATCATGTTTTTGACTCTGAAGAACATGAATTGAAAAACTAAAGATGGGTGTTTTTTCATATTTGATCATGACCCAGTCTTTGATCCAAGGTGGTTTCCTTTGAAGCTGTGGCTAAAGATTTGGTAAAAACATATCTTGGGTCGCAGACTTTCTCATACGTTAGATTGTGTAGTGAATTTGAAGATATTGGCCTTTTTTGTTGTTGCTTATTTTAACCTTTCTTATGAATTCCAATATGGAAGATATAAAGAACTTGCAAGTCTTGCAAGGAAGAAATAAGGCTTTATGCTAATCATTTGAATACTGTAATCGTATATATTTTCACGGGGATGCAATTTTCGTGGAAAGTTCACAAAAGACCTATTATCGCAGTAGTTTTTTGCGCATTTCAAATGCCTGAGTGGTGGTGTCCATCACAAAGTTTTCACAACCCATAGACATGCTATGATCAAAGCTAGCTGCCATAATTGAATCATGTTTACTAAAACAATCAGAGAGAGGTGGGATTATACTTGTGTCAACATTGTGATTTGTGACTGATGTAAGTGAGTTTCATTCATTTTGTGATTACGAGTAATCAGCTATCAATTAACTGACAAACTGATAACAAACATTTTCTGATTGTGATCGCTATTACTAATATACTAGTGTATGCCTCTATTCCTTTGTATATTGTTTTGATGTTGTTATCTGAGAGAATAAACAAATTGCATGTTGTTCCTACTTGAGTATTTGTCATGACTTGACCATGAATATTTCGCTTGGAATGATTATTGACACACAATCATTTTGCGCTAAAAGCGCGAAAATTAATCTCACGCGAAAATAACTACGATTACAGTATGTCCAGAACATTTCTTACCATTATTACAAATTATTATAACTTTTAAATTTGATTCTTCCAATGGACCGAAGAAGCGTTTTTCAGACCTTCAGCTTTATATGGATACAATGGTCAAATAATTATGGCCACTGTGGCGCCATTACCGCCATCATTCATCATTACTGCAATGTGGTGAAAACTATTGAACTGCTACCTTGTACAAAGGCTGTGAATAATTGTAGGTGTCCATAATTAATATGATCCATTGAAATCTGCTATTTGATATCAAATTATTATTAAAAATGTTCACTATTTCCTTTGATCTGCTACGGATCACACATTCATCATCAGCATATGACCAATCAAATGGTTTAAACATATTTATTTCCAAAAGAGGAACCGGATTGGTAAACAAGCAGTATGGTGCTTATCTGAATACCGCTCCGGAATACAGATAAATTATAGATATAATAATCGTGCGGAGAAAAGCATGATATTAACAAATGATAAACAATAGCTTTCTGGAAATGTAACAATCATAAACTGTAATATAGCCGCTTTTAACGTTAGAGCCATTAGTGTCGGAAAATACTTAATAGTAAGTGCAATTTCGTTTTTACTATTACAACACAAATCTGTCTGACAGTACAATGAAAGAATGGATAGATTCTAATAATTCAAGATTACCTTTAGTAGATCCATTAGAGTGTCTGTATAGTATTGATTTGATGTCATATCCTTTAGTATAGAAGTGCATTTTATGTCTTATGTCAGTGTAATTAACGCACGAAAAGAAATAGTGAATTGGATCTTCGTAACAGTAGCCACAAGAACAAGAGGGATTTGAAGATATAAATCGTTGATATTTATGTGCGTTTAAATCGCTGCAACCAATCAAATTGTTTTCTTTTATTGACTAAGGTTCATAAAATTTCAATAAAAATCTTTGACGTACAGTTTCTGCAAAATACAAAGACAAAAAATGTGTCAGTGATTGATCATTGGAATCATCCAAACATGAACAATGATTTATAAATTTCAGAATTTCAGGTTAGAATTGGTCCCCAGAGTGACCTTATGGATCGGAAGGCCATGCTTGGTGATTTTGATGATAGGATTTCATCATACCCCGACACTGTATCAATCTCTGGTTTCTCTGTACAGTGTTGACAAACGCAGATTATTGATGAATTTGTTTTCAGTCATCATGATATACCTTGAATTTGGATGAATTTGTTTTAGTCAGTCATGATATACCTGAAATCCTGATGAACATTATGAATGATATCCATTTCGGTGATAACCTTTACATGACCTTGACCTTTGTTCACCTTGACCTTTTCAGCTGTGCTGGGTCAGATTCCATCAAGGTCACAATACCACTGAGTGGAAAGATCGTGGAGCTGGGTGTGTACTGTGGGAAGAAGCTGCCCCCAGTTCTCATGTCTGCAGGGACTAAGATGACCGTGCAGTTCGAAAGCGAGCCCTCATCCAAAGGAATGACAACTGGCTTCAAAGCTGTTTACAGTTTTGTCAGCAGTGTGTACAGAGATTTTATTCCTTGAAAGATTGAATCAGAATGTCTTGTTCCCCTGTTTTGCAAGTGCTTGTCTAGACACTGTAATGCATGTTTTTGTGTGTACCAGTGATAGTGTTTCCACTGGGATAATGCCACCTGCTTTTTATGTAAGAAGATTTAAAGTTAAGTCAGTTACATTGACAAAGCTGATGGGTATCGACACTCTTCTATCCTTTGAATACATTGAGCAGGTCTGTGGTGTAGAAGTGCTCTTGTCCATCTACTGTCAGGCAATGAACTAAGGTCATGTATAACTCATGGAAGTCAAATGGACCCAGCTCTGTGCATGGATTTTATGGAGCCCTGCATTTACCTTACACTGAACAACTGTGTAGAGAAAAGTCTACATGACCAATGTTGTAATCTAAAGCAGATGATTCCTGCCAGTGCTGTGTAAACATAATACTCACCAGTCTTAGTACTCTTTGGTTTCTCTATCGCTTCTATCTAGTTTGTAAACATCGGTAAAGAAAGATAAAGGATAACCATAGTTAGGTGACATAGTTAGTTGTTATGAATAAAAACATAGTTCCGTCACAACGTGACCTAACTGAGAGGTCATAGGTATCCAATCAAATCGTTTGAATCTCAGGTCAAGTCGTTATGACACAGGTCAACACGATATGATACTCGTGTGACATACAAGATCAGTATGCAACTACCCATACGTTGACCACGTGGGTAATAAATCTGGGTAACAAAGGAACATAGTTGAGTCATGGAGGAACACAACTGGGTAAAAGAGATATATATGGGTAACAAAGGAACAGATTTGATGAAACAACAAAGCTGGGTGAGGACACAGATCAGTGGTGGAGGAACATAACAGGGCAATGGAAGATTATAGTAGTGTCATTGAGGAACATTGTTGGCTGATTGAGGTACAGATAACTGGGCAATGGGGGATTATAGTAGTGTCATTGAGGAACATTGTGGGCTGATTGAGGTACAGATAACAGGGCAATGGGGGATTATAGCAGTGTCATTGAGGAACATTGTGGGCTGATTGAGGTACAGATAACAGGGCAATGGAGGATTATAGTAGTGTCATTGAGGAACATTGTGGGCTGATTGAGGTACAGATAACTGGGCAATGGAGGATTATAGTAGTGTCATTGAGGAACATTGTGGGCTGATTGAGGTACAGATAACAGGGCAATGGAGGATTATAGTAGTGTCATTGAGGAACATTGTTGGCTGATTGAGGTACAGATAACTGGGCAATGGAGGATTATAGTAGTGTCATTGAGGAACATTGTGGGCTGATTGAGGTACAGATAACTGGGCAATGGGGGATTATAGCAGTGTCATTGAGGAACATTGTTGGCTGATTGAAGTACAGATAACAGGGCAATGGAGGATTATAGTAGTAGTGTCATTGAGGAACATTGTTGGCTGATTGAGGTACAGATAACTGGGCAATGGAGGATTATAGTAGTGTCATTGAGGAACATTGTTGGCTGATTGAGGTACAGATAACAGGGCAATGGAGGATTATAGTAGTGTCATTGAGGAACATTGTTGGCTGATTGAGGTACAGATAACAGGGCAATGGAGATTATAGTAGTGTCATTGAGGAACATTGTAGGCTGATTGAGGTACAGATAACTGGGCAATGGAGGATTATAGTAGTGTCATTGAGGAACATTGTTGGCTGATTGAGGTACAGATAACAGGGCAATGGAGGATTATAGTAGTGTCATTGAGGAACATTGTAGGCTGATTGAGGTACAGATAACAGGGCAATGGAGGATTATAGTAGTGTCATTGAGGAACATTGGCAATGGAGGATTATAGTAGATTGAGGAACATTGTATTGAGGTACAGATAACAGGGCAATGGAGGATTATAGTAGTGTCATTGAGGAACATTGTAGGCTGATTGAGGTACAGATAACAGGGCAATGGAGGATTATAGTAGTGTCATTGAGGAACATTGTGGGCTGATTGAGGTACAGATAACTGGGCAATGGAGGATTATAGTAGTGTCATTGAGGAACATTGTAGGCTGATTGAGGTACAGATAACAGGGCAATGGAGGATTATAGTAGTGTCATTGAGGAACATTGTGGGCTGATTGAGGTACAGATAACAGGGCAATGGAGGATTATAGTAGTGTCATTGAGGAACATTGTAGGCTGATTGAGGTACAGATAACTGGGCAATGGAGGATTATAGTAGTGTCATTGAGGAACATTGTGGGCTGATTGAGGTACAGATAACAGGGCAATGGAGATTATAGTAGTGTCATTGAGGAACATTGTGGGCTGATTGAGGTACAGATAACAGGGCAATGGAGGATTATAGTAGTGTCATTGAGGAACATTGTGGGCTGATTGAGGTACAGATAACTGGGCAATGGAGGATTATAGTAGTGTCATTGAGGAACATTGTGGGCTGATTGAGGTACAGATAACAGGGCAATGGAGGATTATAGTAGTGTCATTGAGGAACATTGTAGGCTGATTGAGGTACAGATAACAGGGCAATGGAGGATTATAGTAGTGTCATTGAGGAACATTGTGGGCTGATTGAGGTACAGATAACAGGGCAATGGAGGATTATAGTAGTGTCATTGAGGAACATTGTGGGCTGATTGAGGTACAGATAACAGGGCAATGGACCCAATAGAAACCCATGAAGTATCAACAAGAGTGGAAAAGATAGTTGAAAGTTGTTTCAGTGAACCAGTCCTTACGACACAGACTTTAAGGATCATTGCTTAGTTATAGTCAGATGACCAAAGGTAGAATAGGCACATCTGAAATAACTACCAGTCTGCTGTCCTGTGGCCACTAATTCAGTAAACCCACCTGTAATCTCCATGGCTTACGTCAACTCACCTGTAATCTTTACTTAATGAAAGATGCCTCTGACAATTGGCAGCCCTGGCAAGTTTGAATTCTGTCATGTAAACACTAATTTAGTTGTCAGTATCAGAGAATGTATGAAATATATCAAGCCAGCAGTTGGTGATTACCTTCCAACATGGAGACAATGTGTCAGTTTCACACAGAGCACTAATTACAGCGTCTAGACCCAGGCTGGGGGTAGCCTCAGGCTGTAGATGATAGCGCCACATCAGGCGATAATGGTATGTCTTCATATTATAGATGGATAATAGTCCCTTATTAATCTATGATGATATATCTCGATATAAAGTACAGTGTCCTTGCTTACTGTGGAAAACTGTCCGTAGTTTATTGTTCACATTAGTGAGTGAATATGGCTTAATGAATCATCAGCAATTGTGAAGCTATTTGTGGCGATCTTCAGATTATGAAGTACAGCATTCATTGTTTCGCTGTTGAATCACCAGTGGATGATCTTTAAAGTGGGCTGGTCAAGCCTTGGGATTACATGTTTAAGTTATTATTATTCCAATAATATTAATAATAATAATAGCCCAGGTAAATTGGGATGAAGGTGGTTACAGAATGTTACAACTTGTATATTGCTGATAGTGTGCAATGGGAAATTAATATCCTTTTGCTCATAACTTCAACCACTGGTTTGAAAGTTCATTCAGGGCTCTGTGATGTACTTCTTGACCCTTTTGGTATGTATCGACTACAATATGTTTTGTTTTCATCTAGATTTCGGAATAACAACTGGTGAGCGAGACAGCAGAGGAGGTGAGTATTCACAGCATGAGTGAGTGTTTGTCACTTGGTAATTGTAGGGAATATATATTTTTATAATCCCATTAATCAAGATAATTTTTTGTTAGTTTCTTTTCTTATTCAATTGTGATTCTGGACAATATAAACCATCTTGCAGATGATTAGGTGATGCTGAATATATCATAGTTTCTGAATGTAAGTGATGGGTCTAAGTGAATGCGATTTCAAGGAGGATAGGCAGTAAAGACGAAGATGTGATTTATTTGTCATGGCTTAAGGGCTAAACATTACAATATAACAATGTATATTATTGATTGAGTGATCTTTTACGCTGCTTTTAGCAATATTCCAGTAATATCACTGTGAGAAACACAAAATCGTGGGGAATTGAACATGAGCCTTGGAAGTAATGAGTTTATGCTTTAAACTTGAGGCTACCTAACCAATCTACAGTATTGTATGATGCTGCTGCTGATGTTGTTGAATTAAAGATGGAGGCGTAAAGCTACAGTTGGATTTGACTTTAGTTGGAACCTATACGAAGACAGCATAGGGTGTTTGTCTGGCCCAGATTAGTTCACCGATAGTTGTAATATAGCTGGAATCATGCAGGGGTATAGCTGGAATATTGCTGAAGTACAACTGGAATCCTGTTCAAGACTGCAATAACCCAACTCACTCACAAACTTCAGTTTTGATCAAGACAGACATTTATCTTGTCTAACACAGTCAGAGCAATATAAATCTTTGTTGTTGCTCAACTAGATCATGCTTTAACCAGTTTACTTCTTATTGACAATTGATTCTCAACTTCTGTAACAAATGTGTCCAACCAGACACCATATAATATTATATGGTCTCTGGTCCAACTCAGCTCTTTATTACCAAGTCTCACAGAGTTGTCTCCCTTGGTAGTATCATTTCAACTGGAAGACACATTCACTGTGAAAGTTTTGCATCCATACTATGTCGCTGTAGATGACTGGAAGGGACCTGCAAAGAAATTATCACCGTTAATAACAACATTTGTTTAGTCTGGACATCAAAGGGTCTGATTTGATTAAGTTGTTTTTGATGGAGTATTGTCTGAAGGGGATTGACATTTGCATGAGAAAACGATTGGAATTAATGAGTTTATACCATACAATAACCTTTTGTTTGTGTATAGTGATTGATTTGTAGAACTTAATGTCTTACATGATGTCTATGAAAAATTGAAAAAATGAATGTAATAAGAAATATTTTTAACATCAAATACAGTATTAGGATAACACATGGTCTACATGTCTCAGTATTTTTTGTTTCTGGTACATTTTGTTACTTTTATGGACTACCGTGAGGCTAATATGTGACTTGTTGCAAGTGTTTGTTTCATTGAGACTAATATTTGACTTGTTGGAAGTGTTGAGACTAATGTTTGACTTGTTGGAAGTGTTTGTTTCATTGAGGCTAATGTTTGACTTTTTTTAAGTGTCTGTTTCATTGAGGCTAATGTTTGACTTGTTGGAAGTGTTTGTTTCATTGAGGCTAATATTTGACTTTTTTTAAGTGTCTGTTTCATTGAGGCTAATGTTTGATCTGTTGAAAGTGTCTGTTTCATTGAGACTAATGTTTGACTTGTTGGAAGTATTTGTTTCATTGAGGCTAATGTTTGACTTGTTGGAAGTGTTTGTTTCATTGAGGCTAATGTTTGACCTGTTGAAAGTGTCTGTTTCATTGAGACTAATATTTGACTTTTGTAAGTGTCTGTTTCATTGAGGCTAATGTTTGACTTGTTGGAAGTATTTGTTTCATTGAGGCTAATGTTTGACTTGTTGTTTTCAGTATGTGTATTCAACTACTACAGCCAGCTCGAGTCCCATGGAAACTTCACCTCCCCCAACTACCACGGCTTGTACCCTCGGAATACAGAATGCCACTATCTGTTTTACGGCAAGGGGAAGGAGACAGTTCATATACAGTTCCCAGTGTTTCAAGTTGAAGGCATTGGCCCAAGGTGATTAAATCAAGGAAATTTGACAGTTTTGTAGAAACTGCAACATCTTTGATCTGAAACGCTCATCTTCATTTAACAGAAACTTACTTTTTATAAGTTTTGGTATCTTGACACCATAAACCTGTTAATCCAGATGCTCTGCACTAGGGATTGATCCCAAAGAACAAATATGTTACATGCCACAAGAACCATTGTAGAATGTCAGTTGATTTAACTTTATCTATGTCTTTTCATAATAATTATTGGCAATTTTCATAATTTTTTATTGCTGTGCTTGTATTTAGGACTGGGATGAATCCAAAATTGAAAGCAAGGTGCCATCCCCGACCCCACCTAGCAACCTGGCAATTGACTCAAGGTCTCAAGAGTACAAAATGTCCAATTTGGAATTATTTTGGCCAAACGTTGTCCTTCCACCATAAGGGTGGTGGGATAGCCTAGTGGTAAAGCATTGGCTCGTCACGCCGAAGACCCGGGTTCGATTCCCCACATGGGTACACTGTCTATAGCCCATTTCTGGTGTCCCCTGCCGTGATACTGCTGGAATACTGCTAAAAGTGGTGTAAAACCAGACTCACTCACTCGTTACACATTATAATATGGGCCAAGACACATGTCTGGGTAGTCCAGTGGATAACCAGGTTCTACTCCAGACCCACCCAACCTGAGGACCTGAGTCACCAATCCCAGCCCTAGTTGTAGTACCACAAAATAAACCCATGTTTACAAAAACATCCAGACAAAACTTGTAAAGAATTTATCATTATTTCAGATGTGATGAAGGAACACACAGTGACTATGTCTCCTTTTCCAACTTTGCCGATTCCGAGGACAGGAAGTTACATAGACTGTGTGGAGTGAGCTCCGAAGGGAAAAAAGAGTCTATCGAGTCGGACGGACCATTCTTCAGAGTGGTGTTCAAGTCAAATGACCTTTATGATGATGAGGGCTTTTTTGCGTACTACCAGTTCAAAGGGGCTTCAGATGGTGCCATGACACCTGTCAACACCGGAGGGGATCATTCAGGTAACATTAATTCTTGGACCCTGGTCAGCTGTGTCCATCTGGGAACATGAAAACTGTTCATAGGGCCGCAGTGATGCCAACTCATATGATTTTATCGTATTCGTTACGAAAAAAACAACTCAAAATACATGACTACGAAAGCAGTAAAAATATACAAATTTAATTAAAAAATACATAGAATTAAGTTAACAATAGCTTTTATCTTACCTCGCACATAAATGTCGCTTTCTGATTGGCTGAGCTCTCTTCTATTATTTTCAATGTACCCCGCTTACAAGCGAGTAACATTTCAATGTACCCCGCTGTCAATGGCAACTCATTTGGTACTTCGTGGTAGTAATTCTTTATCTCCAATTACATTGATTAACGTATGATGTACGGAAATTACCGATGTTTTGCAAATGCAAATCGATGGAAGGGAGATAACTCTAAATCTGTTTTTCTTGTCAGCAAAATCTAGCGTCGGCTACGAAAAGATTTGTACCCGTGCTTCAAACATTTCAAAATTAACATTAAGGTGTTTGGTAAGATATATACTTTGTTCACTGGTCCCTCGGGGCCCATTGGTTGATGTACCCTCGATGTTTGTTTATGTTCCCCTTCGGGCTCAGGGAACATAAACAAACATCGAGGGTACATCAACCCATGTCCCCCTCGTGACCAGTGAACAACTTATAATGTACCATGCACAATAAATTGCAACCACATTTTATTCAGTATCAAGCAATATGTGGATACTTTTTTTTTTTTCTTTTTTTTTTTTTTCATAGCACTAACATTGATATTCAGTGTACTTAGTGCACTATATCACTATTGAGCCCACTAGCTTGTATGTGCACATATTCCTCTATATGCTTGTACTCATCATGTTTTTGTACTCATCACATTGGGAACAATACAAAAAATAAATAAATAAAAAAATGTGGATACTTACTACTGATTTAGGTGAGTACAATAACAAGTTCTTAGAATATCTATATTCTTTATTAAATATGAAAATTCTTTGGAAAGGTTAATATTAATTTTTGCCCAAAAATGCAAATTTTCATTATGATATAAAATTATTCAGCAGACTCTTGTCGATGTGTTGTTTGATGTGTCAAATGGTTGTCTGGAAGTAAAAGCATGCTTAATCTTTTAGTCATCTTTTTGCAACCCGTGAAGATCCAGGTTAGAATTGGTCTTCAACAACCCATGCTTGTCGTAAGAGGCGACTAAACGGAAACGGGTGGTCAGGCTCGCTGACATGGTTGACACCTGCCATCATATCCAAGTTGTATAGATCTGTCGATGCTCATTATGTTGATCACTGGATTGTGTGGTCCAGACTCGATTATTTACAGACTGCTGCCATATAGCTGGAATATTGCTGAGTGTGGTGTAAAACTAAACTCACTCACTCCAATGCTTGTAGGTTTAACTAAGTGTTAAGCCTTATCAACTGTCGGTTTCACTAAATCGGTACCATGTGTTACACTTTGGGCTTTCCTCTCATATGACTAGTGTAGTCTCCCTTTTACATGCCAGGATCTGTTGATTTTGGTTATGGTGCAAGTAGGTTTTCTCATTGGACTTTCCTCTTATGAGAAGCTTATACATACAGATATATAGAGAATCTCACCCAAGTGTCTTTTGATATCAATTATATCAACACGGTTGATAAAGTTACAAATATCCGAGGCTTGCCGAGGATATTTTTACTTTATCAACGAGTGTTGATATATTTATCAACGAGTGTTGAGATTCTATTTATCATCCAAAATCACTCTTCATTAATTTTCAATGAAAAATGTACATCTCTGAACATGGTACTGCCATTAGACTTGCAGTGCAGCGATGTCATAGCATTGTGACGTCATCAAGTACATGACGTCATTGCATTGTCAGGGCATTGTACAAAGTCTACTGTCAAAACGACATCTCCTAGGAGATATCGTTTGATCTCACACAAGCGATATCTCCTGTGGAACACAGTTTTGGATGACAAACACACAGGTATACGTGTAACTGAAATAATGTAGAACTTGTTTGTTATATATTTGTTATATAATGGGTTTTGTATATCCTATTTTTCAGACATGATGCATCGGTATGACAGACCTAGCAGTGGTTCAGGTCAGAGGTTACAGACAAGATCAGTAATCGGCTGTTTCCTGACACTTGCCTTCCTTGCTCACAAGGTCAACCACTGACCTGACCTCCTGACCTTGAACTATGACCTCCAACCTCTGCCATCTTCAAAGAATGTGAAAAAATCAAGTGTCATATTCAGTTTGGGCCTTGACTAATTGACTAATGACAAAACAGGTTATTAAGACCGTTTTTTTGTTCAATATGCCCATGTTATATGCTTATGCTTACTATACTGCCTTTCATGATTTTCTTTTCTGTTTGACCTTAAACTCCATGACCTCATTATGTAAATATATTCATAGCTCATATGCCTTATTGTTATTTTCATCATTTATTGCGGAAAGTTAGTGAATGTTTTCATTTTAAACAAGTGGCAGTTTGATAAAAATGTTGAAAATTTGTAAAATGCTACAATATTTTCATTGCTTATATGCTCAAAGGATCCACAACAGACAATTAGACACATGAGAACATGTGTGGAATTCCTGCTTCTAAAACAAAGAATTAAAACATTGACAAGCAAAGCCAGAATTTCTTGAGATTTGTGTAACATATTAAAACAAATTTTCTGCTATTACTTTATATCTTGGATATTTTATTAGTTCAGTATTTTAAGGGGTTGCATGAACCTTCAGAATGTGCTCTTCATTCTTGAAGGCAATTTTATGGCGATCCTTGTTTGTAGATCATATTTACCGTCATATTCTGAAAGAAAACAAAACATATTTCAGAAAACATGTGTTTAATATTTGGCCAATATGAATGGACATAATTTTATGATTTGGGAAAGATTTTTGAACTGACATTATTTAATTATATTTTGAAATATATTTGTTTTGGAATGGAAAAATGACATGGTTTTTAGAAATCAAAATGTCCCTGTACAGATCAAGAACTGAAACTTTGAGAATGTTCGGTCAACATTTTCCAAAATACTACACCTGTGTATACTACATAGCACTATGTAAATAATTATTTTAAATGCTGCTGTCATTGAAGTGATGATTGCAACTGGAGAAGTGTCTCATTTTTGTCATCCCATGTGTTTAACAATACGTGTCAGTTATGTAATCCTCCCAACCAATGAGGATTAACTATCAGGTCAGCTGACTGCTGATCGTAACTGTGATTGGTTGAAAGTTGTCAGTGTTACAAGTGATACACCACAAACTTGCCTTAAATATCACCAGATGTGACAGGAATTAGAGGGGTCATATCAAAAACTTCACGTCTTTTTCAAAAACTATATAATACTGCACATGATTTCGACACTGAACTGCTGTAGTGTGCTAAGACATTGATTTTTAGCGAAAAATTTAAATTCATGATTTCAACATTATATATTTGCCAACATTTAGAAAAAGACATGCAAGAGTTTTGTGACAGACCCTAGAAGCATGATTACTCTGTGTACATAAACAAAGTGAAATGTGCATCATTAGACATGCTGTTTCTTGTAACATAAACGGTATTGTGACAACATGCTAGTGTATGTAGAGATATAGCTTAGTGAACTTTAAGTCTGCCGAGTGGTGTATGACATTAGATAGCATCGAGACCTATATGTCGGTATATGGCCTCTGTATAGCATCAGCATTTGTGTCTACTTGTTGCAGAATGATTAGCCAAGACAAGCAAAGGCCATTGACAAATGTAGGCTAGCTAGTAGGCAACGATTGCTTTTTGCTTAAGTCAAGTCTTTTTCACACATTTTAATTGATATATGATGTCAAAGTGAATGTATATGAGAAATTATTGAATAAAGTTGTCAATCATCATCATCATCATCATCATATAAAAATATTTCACTGTTACATGAAATCATTATTGCTTCAGGCTGAAGTGATGTATTGTTTAAAATAATGTTCATTTTTAAAAATGAGGAATTATGTGCATGAAGTCTTTCATGCCTGTTCACGTGGGTTATGGATCGGATGAGATGTCTTCAGGTTGCTAGAACTGTTATACTCAGGTTCATAATCAATAGCCCCCTCTTAGATTACAACACCCTCAACACACACCCTTAATCCAGTGATCACCACCTTTCCCTCCCGAACACCCAAACCGGTCATCTCCTTGCCTCCCTACACTCATCTCTCTCATTTTCGAAACACAGGATATCAGTGCATCATAGACTCATAATAACTCACTCATACAGACTGGTTTATTGACTTCAGTACACTGCAGCATTTTTATCATATATAAGGGTAATGATTATCCTTTATTTGGATAAAAGAAATTAAAATACCTGGACACTGATTGTACTTTTTAAAGAAAACAACATGTTTTGCTCCCCCTAAATGCACACCAAATACATGCAAAATTCGTTAATCACACCTTCTAACCCTTTTTGTTTTCCATGGGTTTTTTTCAGTTGAATCCTGTTAAAGATCTCACAACCTTGCCCAAAAAGAGCTGCCATAAGCAAGTTAAAAAAAGCATATTATTGCAAAAAAAATAAATTCAAATATTTTGACTCAAAACACCATCAGAAACATTTTGGAAACTGCTAGATGTATTTTTTAAATTGCAATGTTACCACACACATATCTCATCCACTCTCCTCCCATCACAAACCCAACCCCTATTTAATCTCTACAATATCAATTGGTCAGCCATATCTCGAAGCAAAGGTTAAGGCTATAATACTTGTTGATAATTCCATCGCACTCATTATATCTATAGGATATATCAGCACAATCATGGAAGCACTTTGAGCTGGTCCTTCCTTCCTTCCCTATACATTCATCACACCATTCAACCTGTTTCCATCCTCGAAAAATGTTCACAGTTTGAAATAAGTTAATATGGAATCCCTAGGAAATATTGAGCAGTGTCTCAATAGATGTTGATTTCACCATGATACAGCATTCTCTTATTGAGAACAAAACACATTGTACTCATGAACTCAAGGAATTATATATATGAAAATGTTGATTTTAGAATTTATACTCATGTCAGAATGTTGATTTATACGCATGTCAAAATGAAGTCAGATATCGATTTATGCTGTTGGAGATTGCTGTTGTGCAATGTGGAATACCTCGGTGTTAAGGTACTGATAACACACGGGGTATATCTTAGTTGTTGCTTTTCTTTCTTGTTGATCGTCAGTTGTTGATGTAAGTAGACACTGTTTCATTTATTGTCATTTGCCAGTGGTTTAGATCGTTGATCATACCACTGCCATAATTCACAGAATATGGTGCTCTGATGGCCTGGCACTGAAGTTGAGATGGCAAGCCAGAAGGGTAAAAGATAGAATTTTATCAAAAGGTATATATATGTCCATTCCTGCAAGGATGTTTCAATTTCTTCTCTCCTTTGATTTAAAAAAATATATAATTTATGAAAACTTGATTCCTCATGAAATTGATATTTTTCCTATTTCAAATCAGATGTTATTAGGGAATCAATTTATTTCTGTTTTTCAAGCTTGTCATGAGTTTGAAACTGTTGAAATGCACACCCACCACTGTCATGGATAATTTATTGTTTCTTTGAGAAAATTGGAAAAAAACCATTTGAATATATATTTAAACAAGTAAAATACAGAATTTTCAAAATGAAATGCAGCCTGTATATTTTAATTTTACATTACCAAAGTTAGAATAATTCGTTTTTCCTGAAATAATGAAATACCTTTTGAAACAACTCTTTAAACCAATAAGACCTGAAATGATTTGATGTTCATTTATCAGTTGTTATCCAATGCATTCAATTGAAGCATACATAAATGATGTAGGGTTCATGCTAGTTTATGTGGCAGATAAATGTAACCACTGCATTATGCAACATGCTAATGCATTCAACTCTGACAAAGTTAAAGTTAGAGAGTTATAGTTCATTGCTTAGGCCAGACCAATTTTATTTCTTGTTTTACAGATTTTTGTCCTCAGAAAATCTAAAGGCAGGAGGGAAAGAAAGGAAAAAAATCAAAGTAATATTCCTTCTAAATACTCAAAGTATTTTACTTTTTGCAATTTATGAAGTGTACATGGGGCAAAAAACAATCTGAATTTTTTTTTCTTGGAAGTTTACATTTTGTGGCCAATAAAAACATTAGGATTTTATTTTTTGAGCGGGGAAAATTAATTATTATTTTTTCTGATTCTTGAAAAAATACAACAGACGGATCCGTAAAACAAGAAATAAAATTTATCTGGCCTTACTTGTCATTTTTCAATTGTATATATTAAAAAAGAGGTTATTGGAAATAATTGGTAGTTCTGTGGTCCACCATATTTCAAGGGTGACCTTGAGAACTTCTATACCATCAAATCTCTCAGAATAGATGTGTTTATTTGTCTAAAAGAACATTAGATTGTCATTTTCAAGGGATAGTGAGTTAAATTCTTTAACGAACTCAACTATGTTGTAAACTGGTTAAGAAACTTCAGCATTTGATTTGAAAAATGTGATAGATCTTTTATGAATGAAAGCTGGTAATCCTTTATTCCAAGCATTTAGCTCTCGGAATCATTCTGTCCATATAACAGTAAATATAATCATAAACTTACGTGATGTCAATTTACTGTTCTTCTAAGTCTACATTTTCCAGAATAAGATTGCAGTGAATTAAATAAACGGGAGTTTGATCTGCATCATCTAGCATAAATTCATCAAAAAATTGTAATAAAAACAAAAAACATTGATGCAAAACTGATCAATTCAATTATAGAAAACTTAGGCCAAACACTCATCTATGAATTCAGAACAAAAGTTCAAGTCAGAGAGCCATTATCAATCTGTAATATTGCAGAGCGTGGCATTAAACAACAAACCAAATGGGAAGTCAGTCTGCAGTTTCATGTACTCTGACCTTGTGGGGGTGGTGGGATAGCCTAGTGGTTAAAGCGTTCCATCGTCATGTCGTAGGCCCGGGTTCGATTCCCCACATGGGTACAATGTGTGAAGCCCATTTCTGGTGTCCCCCGCCGTGATATTGCTGGAATATTGCTAAAAGCGGCGTAAAACCGAACTCACTCACTCATTGACCTTGTGGGGGTGGTGGGGTAGCCTAGTGGTTAAAGCCGAAGGTTTGATTGCCCACATGGGTACAATGTGTGAAGCCCATTGTGCCCCCTGCCGTGATATTGCTGGAATATTGCTAAAAGCGGCGTAAAGCCAAACTCACTCACTCTCTCTGATGTGGTGTACTTGTTCTGACGATCTGATTTTGACCCAAGATCAGTGATTGTATCAATGATGTACGTCCTGAACAGTCACCCCAGTACTGATGTCCTGCAGAATATTAAAAATGGGAATCTGGTACATACCCGCCACTTCAAGTGTTTTCTCCAGAATGTTAAATAAAAAAATCTGTATGCATAAGATGTACTTAATATGGAAATTATTCGTAAACACTTAATGCATGTTGTAGAAGTTACCTCATCTGTGTCATATAAATTATTTTCACTGAAAACCTGCCCATCCTCATGTCAGGATTGGTCTCGTACTACACATACAATGACACTGTTTTCCCATCAACATCTTATATTATTTAGCCCAGGATATGTTGGTCTGACGGCTGTTTTACAAATACAAATATACAATTTCTACACATAGAAATTGCATTGGTTTTTTTCTGTTACTAATGCTTTGGGTGTTTAGTATTCAGTTCAGTTTTCATAAAAAATGTTCTGTATGACATCATAAAAAAATTAGTTTTAATTTTATTTCAATTTAGTGGCCATGTTTCATGAACAAAATTAAATCATAGCTCAAGTTATCACTTGTATAAATATCATCAACTCTTTGTGCAGTGTTTTCATGTCATTTTAAATAAAAACAATGCATTTGTAAACAACCAAAAAAATACAAAAGACAAAAATGAAAATACATTCATAAAAATCGGTTCTTTTTAAGAAATAATTTTCTATATGATACTCAAGCACAGATTCATTTCCAGGAAAAGGTATGTATTAGAATGCATTCCAGTGTACATAAAACAGCTTGGAGATTAGAATATTCTGTCCATTTTAGGTATCTGCATGATCGGTCATTATATTATTATCATTATTATTATTTATTGAACACTTTAAGAAATGTTATACTAGTATTAGGAGTTTGATTTTAAAGCTGTTGTTTTAATTTCCTGATAGATTTATTAAGAGTTAACAAGAACTATTTTGACTAGTCCAGTTCTGGCGATTCTACTGTATATATGTATACATATAGGGTTAACACAAACATTGACCATCTAAGGGTTAACTCGTACCCACTGTCAAGTGTACATATGTATACAAAATAATATCTTCAATTTCATGCATAGTATATGCTGCAGATGACAATAAAATTTTCTATTTCTGTACAAACAATCTGTTGTCATGTCTTGTTTTAACTCTGTGGGAGTTTGGATCAACACCAAAGATTATGGTCACGTCAGAGTGGAAACAGGGAAGCCCAAAGTTATGTTCTCTGTCAGTGTTTATACTACAGTCTTTGTGATTCACTTGCATACCGTTATCAAGCTGGAATATTGCCAATTGTGGCATTAAACAACAAACAAAAATGGAATGTCAGCCTGGTGTTCCATGTGCTCTGATCTTGTGGGGATGGGGGCTAACTTTGTGGTTAAAGCGCTCGCAGTGGTGTGCCCCCACCGTTGCTGGAATATTGCTAGAAGCCACCTAAAACTAAACTCACTCGCTCTCTCCCTCTCACTCACTAACTTACTCACTCATTCACTTCTCTCTCTCTCTCACTCACTTCTCTCTCTCTCTCTCACTCACTCACTCACTTACCTCTCTCTCTCCCCCACTCACTCACTCACTCACTCAGAGATCCGGGTTAGAATATTGATCTTCAGTAAACCCATGCTTGTTGTAACAGGCAACTAACGGGATCGGGTGGTCTGGCTCACTGACTTGTACCACATGTCATCAGATTCCAATCACATAGATAGATGCTCAAGTTGTTGACCACTCGATTGTCTGGTCCAGACTCGATTATTTACAGACTGCCACCACATAGCTGGAATATTGCTGAGTGCAGCCTGAAAATACAACAACAAACAACCAACCAACTTGTGTACTCAGTGAATCGAACAATATCCCTGCATGAATTCAATTCTTTATTTGCAATCACTGGAATGAAATATTCATGAATTTTTTAAAATGCAGGGTTATTATTTGATTCTGGGTGTTATCTATCAAAATGAGATGTCACCGGTCATTGTTGTTATAAATTACCAGGGTCAGAATGGTCAAAACATGTTAAATTATTTATTTTGTTATTGTTTAATTGAATATATTGAATAATACATCAACTGCTGACTTGATTAAATATACTTTCATTCACTCTGGTGATATTGCAAGCAGTGATATATTCTTGGATGTTCATGGACAGCTGTCTGGTCACCCAGGTTGGTGACAGTCAAGAGACAAGAAGCTGGTGTTATTGTCTTTTAGGGTGACCTCAGTTGCTGATCAGCCTAAAATTCAGAACATAAAACATATGAATTACAAAGGTATTTCATACTGCTGACAGTAGAGATTTGAATCATAATCCAACATATCTGACTTTTCTACAATACACAGAAGGCAGTGTATGAAATAACCTAAAAACCAAACCAGACATCAGGGCTGGTTACTTCAAAATGTTACCAGCCCAAATCGATTTAACCAGACCAGACACTGAGATATGAGATGGTTAATATACTCAGATGTATGGAATATCATCGGGCTGGCTAGCTGTAAATCTAGACCATCCGTCAGAAATCTAGCCTGTCTCGGGTGGTCGGACAGGCCTTATTTCATATACACTGTAGAAGGTCATCTTTCTTCAGTCTGATACAGGACATGACTTACATATACCTGCCTCACACCTCCACATTTGCGCTGTTGGCTTTCTTCCTCAGTCCTACACATATGTTAAACCCAATTCTAAGATGCTTTGCTAAAAGATCAAAGGCCCTAACACTACATTATCAGGCGATAAAGTACACTTTTGCATTACGTCACAATACCATTCTAGTCTGCCCACTCATAATCAAACGTACCCTTGGTAACCGACATCAAGATGACATCACAATGCATGTCAGTTGTCATTGCCAAGTACAGTCTTCAGTAGTACAACTAACTCTGAAGCACGCTGTTTTTTGGTTTGCAGATGCTTCACTCCTCTAAATCACATGTGGAAACATTACGTTTAACTTTTTCAATGAAAAATAGTAGCAGTTCAACTCTCAATGAAACATGACACGAACATGTTCGCAAACTAAGCTTATGTCCACAGTCCCATAATGCACCCATAGAATGTCACATGACTAGTCAGCTTTATCTGGATTTATTGTTCTAAACATACAAACTTATTATACGTTCCTCATAATAAAGAAGTTGACATCCATAACACTCTCTTCCTTTACATCTACATGAATTACATCTAAATGCCATTCAAAGACCTAAACTTACATTGGTAGTAGAAATGCGACATTCATATTGCCCCATATAGTTTATGATAATCACAGATATAATTAAAATAATATAGAGAAGATATTGAACCTGAATGTAAACCATCTTCAAACTGTTAATGAGTGTCCTCATGCTTTAACTATAACAGTTCGGGGCAAAACAGTACTTTATAACACTATACATAGTATAGGGGCATAGTGAACTATATTTCTTCATGAAACTCTCAAGCCAACACATCCTTAAAACTAAAACACTGTTATCAGATTTCAAAAGGTAAAGATATAAAAAAATGATGTCTACCAATACAAATCAAACTTTAGTATGATTGAACAAACTATTGTACAATGCATTTTATTTTGTTTTATTTACTGACAACATTTTTCACTTCAAAATATGAACATACAAACAGTAAAATCTGTCCTTTGCTTCCCATTTACTGGCAGAAGAGGAAGAACCAAGAATTTTCGAACATGTTTTGGTATTGTGATCCAGTATTAAAAATTTGGTAAAGTTTAGAAAAATGGTTAGAAACAGCTAAAATTTACATTAATTTCACAATTTCAAAGATAATGCTCGGAACCAAAGGAAGAAATAACAACCCTATTAACGCCGTTGTCTTACTTGTTAAAGACATCATATTCAAAAACAGTCAAAAAAATAACATTCAAAATTTCGGGTATACATATAGAAAGTCAAATTAAGCAGTACTACGACATCTGGTGAAAACGATATTATATCAAACGATTATTACATTATACATACTCTATTGAAAATTTGATTTATGTAACTTTGCCTCATTGACTGTACATTGTAAAAGGTCACTGTAATTTATGTACCTCATATATGCCAAATTGTGTATATACTGTCTTAAGCGAAAAACCAAACTGTAAACTTGCAAACATGAAAAATATGAAATGAAATAAATAAAAATTAAAAAAAGAAGAAAAAAAAGAAAAAAATAAAAATTAAAAAAATATATAAAAAGAATTCTGGAATGCAGTGTCCAGAAGTTAAAAAAAAGTGAAGAAAAATAACATAGGTTGATATACCTCCTCTGAATTAACCAGTGGATTTCACTCTACTCAGGATGACATTAGTCTATTCTGGTCTTTGTCTTTGACATCGACCTGTGTCAGGGTGTTCTGGCCAAGAAAAATGATCCACTTGTACCCCCAGGAACTGCTTCTGGAACCAGAGTTTGACTTTGTGTCTGTTCCTGTGTCAGCAATACAAACTGTATTTCACCTGAGGCACTGCCGTTTTGGTTGAATTGCTGTTAGGGCAAGGGAGACAAAGTTCAAGCATGTACTTGTACAGACTCTCAGTCTGGCTACTGCTATAACTGTAACAGAAACTGATACCAAGTCACAACATTGCTTTCGGGTGGTATTTTGGAATCTCTATAAGTACAGTAAACTAAAGGGTTATGCCAAACCCCAAGGACCACTAATTGTAATTTGTTGCTACCATTTTTTACATGAATTTTAAAACTATGATCAGTAATTTATTTGATTACTGCATTATCTTATATCTTAAAAAGTAAAATACATGGTTAAAGTTTAACTTTGGCCGATGAATCCTGTGATAGTGTACCTGTAGAATTCGGATCTTTAAACAAATCTGTAAAGGTTTCTAGGAGGTATAAGATAGATGCAAAGCATTTCGGGTAATTGTCAGCAATACCTTTGAGATAATTGTGATTGACTTCTATAGGTTCTCACATCATTGAGGGACATTTGAAAAAATGGATGAAAAAAATCTCCATAATTTCTTTGAGTCAAATATTATTTGACACAAATAGGATTAATTCCCACACAACCATCCAAATAAGATAGGAACTTAGTGTTTCCATCAACAGAATGGTCAGGAGGATGTTATTTGCTATAAATATCTCGCACAAGGTCATACACACACGACTCTCGGTTACTGGATAGATCCAAATATCCATCAGTCATGATGACACACAGTTTGGGCAAGGTGATTCACTGCTTTTAAATTCTATATTATAATTTATGTTTACTTAACTATATAAACGATATTCAACCAATGAAATAAATGTGACTAAGCACATCCCTGAATGAATATATCACTGAGCAGCTCTACGTAGTGTAAGACAAGGTGCTGTTATTGGTGCTCCATTATTATTATTCTTTTTTTTAGATTTTGGTAGCACAGTAATTTTCATCCATTTCAAAGAAGAATAATGATGACTGTCATCAATTCTTTTTTCTTTGAAGGGAGAAAAACCCTTGCTCCATAATCCATGTCATCTGAATTTATAAAAGAAATATGACACATTTTAAAGTACAAAGTCAGAGTCTGTTCAGAATTCAAGTTCAAACATACTATACAAATATACTAGACTGGGACTATAATACAGAAGCTTAAATATTCACGAATTCTATATCTTATGCATTTCAATATCTTAGCAACAACACAACAAAACCCTGGCTGTAAGAAAGTCATCGTAATAAAATTCGACTAAACAGTCCACTACAAGCATGGAATATTCAAAAACAGAATTTTAACGAAGAGTTGAAGTAATAAGCAATCACAAGAATAAAATGTAGTATTTAAATTTACTATATTTGGAAAATTGCTTTCAAATTTGATTGCCAAGCAATTTGAAAGGCACTGTGCATGACCTAGACAAATGCTTAGTCTCTGAATAGATATAATTTTGATAGTAACAAACAAACCTATCATAAATTGAAAAGGAGCCCCAGGGAGACCAGAGATTCACATGTCTTTTTGACAGAGAGACAATCAGAGAGACTGAAATGGAACAGAACAGTCAATCATTTGGGGAAACCAGACACAAATCATCCAAATGACTTGGATCTTGAGCACTGCAATAAGGTTTTCAAGGACTCTGTCCATACTTACAGAGGAAAATATACAGATAGAACAATTCTTAGAGATAGTTGCAGTTCACAGGCAACAGAAGCTATCTCCAAGCAATATGACAGGGCAGCTAATGTGCGGCAGAGTTCAGGAAAGCATACCAACATGGATCAGACAGATGACATTTTGAAGTTGGCAGACCAGTTTCATAACATTGGTCAGGGGTTCAGAGATGATGAACGTGTTCATGAACACTTCACTAAACTGAAAGATCACCTAAAGTCACTTGACATGTCCAAGAAAAGAGACTGGATTTCAGACAGCTTGGAGGTGTTTGCAACTCATGCATTTTACAAAACTTAGTCACTTTGTGAGCTGTCGTTTAAGATGATTGGTCTGCGAATTGTCAACTCATTGATATCACTGTCACTTGAATGACTGTCATCATCACTTGTTTCCTGGGGTGTTGTGATCCATTTCCATACCACTGACATACTATTTCCACTGCATTTACTCTGACACTGACAATGTGTTTGACTTTCACATTGGCATAAACACCTACAGGTAGGGGAACAAATGTCACAGCATGTATGACGTGGATATGATGGCACAGGGAATGTCACGAAGTGTTGCAGCAGTTGTAGTCGTCTACAGATGTTTTGTTTCCAATAGTTTCTCATGTGTTTGTCAATATTCCTATTGCCTGATAAACAATGTTTGTATTTCATGAGAATAGCATGAGATTGTTCTTGAGAATCTCGGCCAGCTCTCTCAGTCTCCTGTGGTCGGTGGGGTAGCCTAGTGGTTAAAGCGTTGGCTCATCATGCCGAAGGCCCGGGTTCGATTCTCCACATGGGCACAATGTGTGAAGCCCATTTCTGGTGTCCCCCACTGTGATATTGCTGGAATATTGCTAAAAGCGGCGTAAAACTAAACTCAGCCAGCTCTCCCGGTCTCCTGCATGTACTCTTCCACATTGTTAGCAGGTCCATAATGGATTATGTGACGAACCCCTTGTACATCTAGTCCCATGCTGAATGAGGTAGATACTACAAGTACACGTTTGAAACTGTGTGGGTCAATATAAGCCTCACAAATACTCTCCTTAACCGAGTCATCAGTTGACTTGTGAAACATATCAAACATTCTGTTTCGATCATCGTTTCTTCCATTTGGGTTGAAGTCCACATACGCTTTGTCCTTAAGATTGTATGCAAGGTGGGCGTAGAGTCTGCTGATTTGAGACGTCTGTCTGAAGAAAATAATCATCCTGGGTGTATCTGTTCCGTTAGCCATGCAAAGTCCCTGACCGCATTACCCATTGTTTCACAAAGCCAGTACTTGGTGTTGTTCTTGTTGGGACTGACAAGAACTTTGTCACACTTTGTCATACACAGGCTTTTGATTATTTGTCCTTGTGTTGAGTTGCTGGCAGTTGCTGTCAATGACTGGTGCTCTTGATAAGGATCTTAGTTCACCAAGACATCCCTAAGATGGTCTAAATGCATCCTTTCCCTCAAAGGCAGTTCCACTAGAAACACAAATCAAGTTAGTCATTTCTGTTTACATTGAGTGGCATTTTTGTACATTATGTGTTTTACAATACATTCGTTGAAATATATCTATACCCTTTACCCTCACCCATCAATGTGTGGTGTATGAAATTGCCATGTTAATGATTCGAATGAGAGTAAAATACTTTTCCCTTTATTCTACTGAGAAATTGTTTCCATGGATCCGCTAAACAAGACGATTATGATCTTATACTATACCGTAATGAAGAAATTATTATTTACAACAGTACAAATTAATCATTTTTCTTTTTAATACATTATGATTTTAATGCGTTAAAAAACTTATCTTCTTAGACATATCAGAAGAAAGAAGTCAGGGTTAGCATGAGAAAGAAGTACTTTCATAATGAAAGTCTTGTTATGACAAATGTAAATGAATCTTTATGTGAAATCACAATGCCAATTTAGATTTTTCTTTATGTATGTATAGTGTCTTTCTACAGCTATTAATGTTAAATCTGCTGAATATCCCCTTCATTTGTGATGAACTTCAATATATGCCGTTGCTACTATGTTGTACCCATTATTTGGTAATAGGTCTTATCTGGTATTTTATGAAAAAAAGGTGTTATTTAATAAATGACATTGCAACAGATTCCTGCTATCGAAATACGTTGACTGATAAGTTTGAGCATGGCTGAATGTTTGCAAAAATGTACCATATTTTAAAATGAATAAAGAATCATTTCATAATTATCCAAATGTTTCAAATCGTTAATCTAAATACCAGCATGCAATATACATTTTCAATTGTGTAAAATACTTACAATTTTGTAATACAATGTGCTTCATCAATGAATATTGCTTTAAGATATTTACTCCTGTCCAACTCTGTCACCAAATCACGGTATTTTCCCAGAACTGATTCTGGGCTTGTAAAGATCAGATTTGCTTCTCCATCTTGGAGCTCCTGGATGTTCATAGGTTCAACACTAGATACCAGATTATCCTCGCTAGGTTTCACCTTGCATGCCTCCATCACATCACGAAGGTAAACAGATTTCATTCCGAGACTCTGTGCCTTTTTATTTTGGTTCTTCACGAGGGCTACGAGTGGAGACACAACAATTACTGTTGCTTTGTTGGTGTTGTGAAGTTGTTTGTATACAAAAGGTGCAATTTCAAATGTCAAAGATTTACCACTCCCAGTTGGGGAACAAAACAGCACGTCATTTCCCTTCAGGTAAGACATGAAAACAATCCTTTGGTTTGGACAGATTTCTTCTGTTCGTAGTTTTTCAAGTCCAACTTGTATGGCTTTCTCGATATCTTCATTTCTGTTCATATTCACTGTGTTCAATTTGCTTGCACAAAACAAAATACATCTATTTCTAAAACAATTCCGGGCATATGAACAGAGCAGCGATAGTTGAGCAATTATCTTAGATAAACAGAGATAATAAAAATACAACAGAGTTTCACACCATAATCTCCTATAGCCAGGAATCAAAGAGATAATCCTTGTGTGTTAGTTACAATTAAAACATTAACCAGTCACAATGGAGCTGCCAGGTGTGTGGACCCAAGCCAGACAATGAAATAATACCTTTTATAACATAACATTCAGGAGGAACATTTCCCAAGATTTTACTTGATTTGTCTCCTAAAAAACAGAATCTGTGCACAAGGCATACATGATAGCTTCATGTTGCCCCCAGTGCTTGTTAATTAAGAGTTGACAGATGAAAATGTGAGGCAAGATTCCAGACCACTGGTGAGGATGTTGGTCCGTCCAGCCATGGCAGTTAGATATGTTTACTTTGTAACCCGACCCCCAAAGTGAGTTACTTTTCTTGCAGATGTTAACAGACTCGAACCTCGGGAAATCTAGACTTGCTTCATTTAGGGCTTTAGCACTGCAGGGAAGGTTAGGCTGTGAGGAAAATAATGTGGTTCAGGGACTGTGAGGCAGTCTATGCACGACCCACCTGTGCTTGTGAGCTGTGGCTATATTTAGCTCACTTGCCTTGACATCAATTAGAACACAGTGGTTCTCGGATATTGTGGATTTCCAAGAAGTCGGGCAGTTCATGGAAAAGCTGACGGTTCAAAAGTAAACCTTATTGATCACACAATTTTTTAAAAAGTTTTCAGTATGATTGTTTCTTAGAAACAAGATAACCTCGGTGTAACTGTTTGCTTTGAATTCTCTGAATTAATAGTCTGTGATAATGAAATGTTCTCAGTTTCTGTCTACCAACTATTGATGATTATCTATAAAATATTTAATTTTTAAAAATTGTGCTTAATGTTTTCATTATTTTATCTGTTCTGACTTCACCCCACAATGTTTTCATCTTATTCATCATCGTATATGTGTATAATCCATCTTGAAATTTAAGATTTAATGCTCTCTTTTCTGCAGATTGTTGTGACTGTCTCTTTCAAATCCAATTAATTTACACAGAAATCTGGCCCAAATAATCTAAGCCTGGATTAGATCATGCTTTGAAAGTTATGAAAATCATTAAATTTGTATGAAAGTCATGCAATTTCTTTTCACATCGATTTTCATAAATAGTCATTCCAAATATATGACATATAATAAATAGGTGTTAATTTTCAACAACCCATTACTGAAATGTGTTAATTTTCCATAAGTTGTTTCTTAAATATGTATATTTTCATAACCCTCTACTTTAATATTCTTTTTTTTCGAAAACAATGATATGGAATGATCATGGTTGCCTACAAAAATGGGTGGGAAGACAGCAGGCCCACTCGGTCCCAAAAAACCTAGGCTAAATGCCCCCATGACAAAAGCCCTTGCAAAAATTAACCCTGGGCCAGACAGAGGATATGAACATTGACACATAATCCACTATATCACTCACTGTAGCCAACCAATCCTCATTTAAGTCAGCTCTTATTAACAAGCCCAAACTCCTTCTGTTGTGAGAGTGGTATGCACTACTGATAGGGTAAGCTAGACCACCTTTCGCCTGAACACCTGGTGTCATCACTGATTTTCTGTGATGTATTCTTAAAATCAGTACAGCTATTTATGTATTGTTTCAGCATATAATCTATAATGTTGACACAGACATATAATATTTACTGGCAGCCTGTTAAATGTGAACATAGGAGAATATAAGGACTGTTGGTATGTCTCAGAGTCCTTGAACTAGTGGTGGTCTGATTAATTGAAATAATCGAAGATTGGTCGCAATGACAAAACGACCAATCAATCGATCATGTTTTCTCATAATCGAACACAACAATTTTGGAACTCTTGTTTGCAATAACGATATTTTTCACAAGGTTGGTTTTGTCTGTTACATTTCATTAGCACTACAAGCTCTTCCAATTCATGATTGAATTTATTTTAAAGACTCCATGAAGTTCATGTTCCTAATATACTAGTCATCCTTTAAAGATGTGAAATTTGCAAATGCATTTTGTGCAATTTGCAAAAAAACGAGAGAACTACATGTTTTTTCTTTATTTTTTGTGCATTAACAAACATAACCAGAAAAATTTTATAAATGACGCTAACCAATTATTTTCGATGATTGATTGGTTGTAATGAACCAATCATCAATTATGAGATTTAAACCAATTCCCAACACTACCTTGAACAACATTATTTTCCCTACTGCCAAGCCCTCCCTGCAAGGCTAAAGCCCTAAATGAAGCAAGTCTAGATTTCCCCAGGTTCAGCTGAATCTCCCATCTCACTGGTGCTCCTTTTCAACTTATAAATAATAGTTTGTTTTTATCAAAATTATACATATTCAGAGACTAAGCATCAGTAAGGACTGTATTCTGACAAGTTTATTTAATAAATGTAACACATTCTTTCCTTAATATTAAGCCAGACCATATCATGTTTTATAGTGGAGCCTGCTCAATAAGTACTACTAAATATTTGGTGCAATATTCTGTTTATAACAGATAAAAAAGTTAAACTTTTTTTGTAAACAGTAAATGTGAACTAGACACCATTAACTTGGATCATATGTCAAAGTGTTTGTCAATTTTCTTGTCCTTGTACTCATCAGTGTGGAGTGAGTCATCTCACCCCAAATACAGTGTTTTTCTCTGAAAAACAGAAACCACTTTAATCTGCTGATTCTTAAGATAGAATTGCTAGTTTCCAAGGGATTTCTTTATTTTCACTGTGTGTTATTGGAGTATAATATCAGCATAATTCAGCATATCGACCTTTGTTGCATCAGGTTTAAACATTCAGAATGGACAATGAAATCCAGTCTCAAAATCAACTGCACCAACATTAGTGTGATGCTATTGTAATGGTTTAACATTAAAATATTTTATAATTTTGATAAATATTAAATACAAAAAAGTACTAACATGATTTTAAAAGAATATGAAGAGTTTTTAGAGGTAATACACAACATTTTCTGTTGAAATGAAAAAAGAAGAAATATAATTCATCTGAGCTAATACACGAGTTAGAACATTTTAACCCAGAATCCCCACAAGGAGTCAAACAGGCACTTCTCTTTTACAAACGATATTTAAAATGGTTTGAAAAGTGGTCTCTCTAACCTTCTGTGCTTGTACCAGGCAGTTATTCAGAACAATGACATGAAGAAGCCTACTACATATATACGGACAGGCATACAAGTACATGTACTCTACAACTTCCATCTGAAACCAGTGGTTGATATAGTGAACAACAATGTACACTGTAGGGTAAGATGACAAGCAGGAGCTAGGGAACCACTTCTCACCCCCATTAGGTATCATGGAATCCCAATACTGTAACGTTATTTCTAATTAAAGTATCTATATATTCCACTATATGGTAGCTCTCTGCTGGATTCTTTGGTAGGCCATCATAAAAACATTAAGCTAATGTAAGTCTGTCCAGTGCTCAGGTGAGTAGGGACCTCAGTACCACCTGGACCAATGGCCAGGTGAGTAGGGACCTCAGTACCACCTGGACCAATGGCCAGGTGAGTAGGGACCTCAGTACCACCTGGACCAATGGCCAGGTGAGTAGGGACCTCAGTACCACCTGGCCCAATGGCGCCAGTCTTGTGTTATATTGTTTAATGAAAAAAAAAATTATATTATATTATATTTCCATGGTTACGTTACAAGTCATGAATGTCCAGATTTCTTTCTATTTCTGAACACGCCTCACTTATATAAGTTTAAAGAAAGAAAGTTTCAAGTAGCTTCAGTGTACCTGTGTATGCTCAATCAGTCTGACATGTGCATCAAACCAGTTTACAAACCCTAATACAACCTACAACCTAAATAAATAGCAGGTTAATCCTTTCATCATGTCAGCTGGCATGAGTCACGTGACTTCTAAGAAATGCTTCCTTGTTCTAAATATATTTCTTCAGTGTACCAAACATAAATTACTTCAACGAGTACACTGTGTACAGTGGCCACGTCCTGAACACTCCCAACTCTGTACACATGTACGGTTTGTGTTGACCCAGCTGTACACAGTCCTGTAACCGTGTTGACATTATTTACTGGGTATAAATTACCTATCATCATGTGATGATCTCACATTCAGCGAGTGTACAGCTCATGACAGACACACTCACACATACTAACAGAAGTGTCAACAGACAGAGTGAACTTTGGTCTAAACAAATACACGACAACAAGGGGCCATAAATATATTTTATTCAACTCTGCGACACATCATTGTTTCGAATATCTGCATGACATTCAGTATGACTGCTTGTACATGTGTTTTCCGAGACTGTTTCATGATTACATTTAGAAACCTGTTAACATAATTTAACTTTCTGTACAGTTACTAGTGGTGGGAATTGGATAAAATCTCATAATTGATGATTGGTTTATTACAACCGACCAATCATCGACAATAATTGGTTCGCGTCATTTATCAAATTTTTCTGGTTATGTTTCTTAATGCACAAAACATAAAGAAAAACATGTCGTTCTTTCTGGGTTGTTTTGCAAATTGCACATCTTTACAGGATGACTGATACATTAGGAACATAAATTACCTGAACTCTTTAAGATAATTTCAATCATGGCTTGGAATGACCTTGTAGTGCTTATGAAATGTAACAGACAAACCAACCTTGTGAAAAATATTGTTAATGCAAACAAGTGTTCCAAAATTGTTTGTGTTCGATTATGAGAAAACATGATCGATTGCTTGGTCGTTTACTCATTGCGATCAATCTTCGATTATTTCAATTAATCGGACCACCACTAACAGTTACATCTGCAAACATGTTCATATTTGTATATATACCACTCAAAAGAGTTAAGGAGCACATGATTCTTTCAAATTAATAGTTAAACTCTCTTGTCATGGCTGATATATTCACCAATAACACCAGCACTAGTCCAATTTCTCATTATGAGAAAAGCTTAAAACATGTCCTGAAAACAATTAAAGAGTTCATGTTACTGACAGGTTCCAATTTATCTCTTCACGCATTCTGGAACTGGACGTTTCAGTTGTAATACAATAAATATGTGAAAAGGTCAATAGTAGACGGCTGTTTCACCAGGATCTTGATCCAAGCTGTTTTAGATGTTTGATGACAATTCATTCCTTGTCTTTGAAAAGTCATCATAATATATGACATAGCAATTTGAATACTACAAGATAAATTTCGGTCATCCTTTGAAAACTTTCATTAAAATCTGCAGCAACGTTTCCCCTATTTTCAAAACGTGCCCTTATCCATATCATCCTCTGTGGTTGGTATCGCAGTCAAAACAATACATGTTGATTCATGGAATTCAACAGAAAAAGACAGATCTACATCATTCCCATCTTAGTCCAAGGGTGACATGGAATAAAAGGTCTGGCACAAAACTACTTGCTGTGCAGAGGTGTGTCCCTTAATTTTGATCCTCCCGTTTCGAGAAATCACTGGTGGCGTAAAATGTGGTAAGAAGGCTAATTTATTCCTCACACTTAAACAATATGCATCATGTCTGACAGCATACGTTCATTCTCCAAATCATCATCATGATCACTTTGCTTCCTAAAAAGGGTATTAGAGAAATAAAATCTCTGAAGAGACCAGTTATAAATGTATTTCCTATTCTTCTTTGAATTGATGTTCACTTGACAAAATTTTTGTCCAAAATGGACGGATTATGTTTAAGATAATCCCTGAATCAACAAATGTACTGACAACTGGCTTACATCACTTGTCCAACTTTCTTTCACACAATAATTGTTCATTCATCATTATTTGAGAATAAAATAAAATATTAAAGCATAAATCCACTCATCTTATGATGAATAAATAATTCCTCCAAAGATTCAATTCCCTATAATATATAAGGAAGGGCATGGCAACATATCTCCTTCTACTGCTGGCTTATAACTTCATGATATGGCATGCTACGCTGATTTGGTTACTTTCACACATACTTATTTCATACAGATTCAATTTACCACTAAATGACGACAACCTATGTAATGGTTTCATTGTTTGCTGCGTCTCAGTGTTCCAGCTGTATGAAGCAACAAGAATGATTAAGTGATGGATATCACAAGCAAAGATTTCAGCTGTTGGGGTACAGTGACACACAATCAACAAAGTCACCAAGCCTGACCGCCCAATCCACTTTTTTTTCTCTGGGGATTAAACCTGGAATCCCCATGGATTTTGAGAAATAAGGATTGGTTGGTCATGCCATACCATCAACCTTTGGTTTGTCTGGACAACACGATTGCCATGAGATAAGTGCCAGGCTGCTAACTGTGCTGCTTCCACTCACTCACTCGACCCTAATGCTGAATTTATACACTACATAAGCCAGTGATTGGGGAAGGCAGGGGCCTTGGGCCAGTTTGCACATTAGAATAAAAAATGACCCATTAAAATTTTGAAGTTTACTATTGATAACAAGGGCAGTGGCCCATTCTAAATTCAGAAAATGTCTAATAATCCTAAAAATGGCCCATTGTGAAAGTTCTCTATCTCAATCCCTGCATAACCCATTAAACGGATATTATAACGGATATATTATATATTATAAGTAGACATGTTTGTTTTCATTGAGTGAGCTTAGTTTTATGCTGCACTCAGCATTATCACAGCTATAGACGTCGGTCTGTAAATAATCAAGTCTGGACCAGACAATCCAGTGATCAACATCATGAGCATCGATCAACACAATTGGGATATGATGACATGTGTCAACCAAGTCAGCGAGCCTGACCACCTGATCCCGTTAGTCGCCTCTTACAAGCATGGGTTACTGAAGATCAAATCTAACCTGGATCTTCACGGATCTTCTGTTGTCAAATGTGACACCTGAACTATACATTTTACAGTCATTGGTAACTGGAAATAAATATCACAATTACAGCTGTGTTGACCAATAATCCTGTTGCCAAGTATGATATGTGACAGTTTATGACACACAGTGATCTGGCGACAATATTCCGAGCTTCAAACTTATTTCATGACTGCCTCGACAATATTGACCAGTGCCATCTTGGCATCAGAATGGGGAAAAATGTCTAATGCTTGAATAGCTTTCTGGCCATATTCTTCACACAACGCGAGGCACTCATTCAAGACCTGGGATGACTGGATCAGAGACACAATCTGAAACAAAAGAGGGAAATAAAAATGTAATCTAAGTATCATGCATTAACAGCAGATAACAGTCCTGGTTATTCAAAGCTATTGCTTCTGGTTCATGGAGAAATTATGGTATGCTACACTTTGGCTGAAAGACAAGTTCAATCAATATCATTCACCTGTTTCCTGTCGGTGGAGCTGAGAGGCGATGTGAATGTGGCAAGGGAGGCAACTCCATGAGTCTCTGCATACTTCATCACAGGAGCCGAAACCATTGTGAGTTGATCAAGGAATTCCTCGGGGTAAAGGAATGGTGCCATGTCTTCATTGAGCTACAGTGAACATAACGAATAGGACTTAGAAATAGAACTGATTCAGAATTACACAACACATAATGCTACTGTTCAAAGAAGACAACTATTATTTGAATTTACTTCAGCACAAGATAGTGGACTCTGACTAGCAGTATTTTGGCATCTATGATCAGATATGTAACATCATGGACTACATTGCTACATAACTACTCCAATAGAACTATTCCTTGTGTAGAGATATGTCACCAGCTGCCCTACTTGTATCTCCCTCTCGACAAATAAATTCTGTAGCTGATAAGCTCTCTAGTTGTCAATTATGTCAGACAGAATCTCTCAACAATGATTGACCAATACATCCACAATGATTACAATTACATGATTACGACTAATGCTAGGTTTCTGAAAACATACAATTTTGATAGAACCTAACAGTTCAAAACGATCTAGTGGGCAGGGAGATTAAAACATAAACCTGAGGAAAATCTACCAGGTTTGTAGTATACGTCCTATATATACTGTAACCACATCACTACTCTATAGTATCCTTCGTAGTGTAGAGATACGTGAAAAGCTGATTGCATTGCAGAAATGGCAGGGCGGAAGGGAAAATAATGTGGTTCAGGGATTGTCAGAGACTTAACCATTAGATCCGAGTGTAGAGATATGTCGCTGGCTGCTTTGTTTAGGGCTTTTGCAATGCAAAAAGGTCAGGGCATATGGGAAAATAATGTGGTTTAGGAATTGTTAGAAACTAAACCATTACATCCTTGTGTAGAGATATGTCGATGGCTGCATTGTTTAGGGCTTTTGCAATGCAAAAAGGTCAGGGCATATGGGAAAATAATGTGGTTTAGGAATTGTTAGAAAATAAACCATTACAACCTTGTGGCTGTGTAGATATGGCTGATATGTCGATGGCTGCGTTTTTCAGGGCTGCGTTGTTTAGGGCTTTTGCAATGCAAAAGGTCAGGGCATATGGGAAAATAATGTGGTTAAGGGACTGTTAGCCAGACTAAACTTTCAGATGGGGTGATATCAAACTGGTCGTAACATGACTTATGGTTTTGTATATGTTTGAATGTCTGATGAAATCAGTACGCACCTGCTGAACGTACGCCATGTTACAGCCAAATTCAAATGCTTGTTTCTGAACATGGTCGTCATGTTTCACAAGTGCCATTGATGACTGGCAACTCTTAGCCAATAGGCTGCCAGATGACAGGAATGTTTGTTTCAACCAATCAGAGAATGTGACAGAGGAAGGTAAGGCTAGATTTCCTTTTCCGTCCTGGAGTCCTGTAAACTCGGCCTCCATTAGATCTCCAATTGCACTTGACATAGTTTCAACTACCTTCAAAATAAAAGGAACTTGTATGGATTTACAATACTCAATAACACAAATCTAAATCCACAAAAAGTCCACAAAAATTGTCATTAACTTCAACTGACCTTTCAAAGTTGTGAAACAGACATGACCTCACTGGAATGCTAAAAGGTCATGATACAGTGTACCCGGGAAGGTCTGAGTTTGAATTGGCCTTCAGTAACCCATGATTGTTGTAAGAGGCGACTAACGGGGTCAGGTGGTCAGGCTTGCTGACTTGGTTGACAGATGACATTGTATCCCAATTGCATAGAATGATGCTCATGATGTTGATCACTGGATTGTCTGGTCCAGACTCAGTTATTTACAGACCTGGTGAATTCATGCCTATTGCCCATAGACAGAGAGTACAGAGAAGGGATAATTATGGCATATCTTGCTCATGTTGGCTATTCTGGATAACTGAAGTGTTAAAATTTGTCTGGCTTTCACGACATTCTGATATTGTACAACAATTTTTGGTCACCTCAAATCAGTTGATTCTATATTGTTTATTAATTAATTTAAAATGACAAAGACATCAAAAACAAAACATCCAGTTACCTTTGTGTTTTTTAACTCTGCCAATCCTGTTGAGGCATTGGCCAAGAGGAAGTCCCCACTTAGAACAGCCATCTTGTTTCCAAACTCCATGTCCTTGATCGGCCCGTCAAAAACAGGGTCAAGGTCGGAAAGGTTGACCACTCCTTTGTGAATGAGGTTGGCTGTATGGATCATTTCTGTGACCTCTGCAAGAGACCTTTGTCTGAAAGAAGTAAAAAAAGGATACATTGCTAATATGCTGAGTTTCCAGTTCAACAAACAAGTGATTGACAGTGTGAACAATCGTCCTTGCCATCAGTGTGTTGACACGCCATGTCACACTATTATTATTATTATTACTAGTATTATTAATCTGGGGCCCCACGACCGCCTCCGTGGTGTAGTGGTTAGAGCGTCCGCCCGGAGAGCGGAAGGTAACGGGTTCGATCCTCGACCGCGTCATACCAAAAGACGTTAAAATATGGTACTTGTTGGTCCCTGCCTGGCTCTCGGCATTAATGGGTACAACAAGGACTGGTCAGCTCGGAGTCAGTATAATGTGTCTGAGTGGGGTATTCATGCTTCACTGCGGCATGGTATCTCAGTGGGCTAGCACTATAAAACCAGCTTAAGTCTGGGCTAGTACAAGCATCCGCACATACACATACACACGCATGCCCGTCATCATATGAGCGAAATATTCTCAAGCACGACGTAAAACCAAATTTCACCTCACCTCACCTCTGGGGCCCCATCCACAAAGCGTTCATAACGCTGCGATATTCATTAGCCTATGATAAACTATAAATACATTTGATTGCTCTTAACGCTACTAACGCCTTGTGGCTCTGGACCCTGGCCTAAAGGCAAGTAGGAGCACTGGTGTAGCAAGGCCTTGTTTCATGAAGGCATAGAAGCTCTGAGACAATTGTTAATTGTGTACTTTAACCATGTCAAAACAGAATAGCTACAACTGTGCAACAAGATCTGCTTCTGTCTCGAGAGACAAACATGTTCAGCTGGCCTTAAATGGACAACACCTAAGCTCCAAGAACAATGAAAAAGACTAGGGTCTTAGGCTAACCTACCGCGGACAGATTCCTGTGATTTTGTCCTTCTCTAGTATCTCTCCTTCTAGCTGTGGCCCAGGACCCGCAGCCTTCGACAGCAGCAGGACAATCAGCCCCCGGGTCTGCAGACCATGTTTCCCATCATACACCAGGCCTCTGAAGAACATGAACAGATTCAGTAATAGATGTAATATATTAAAACAAAAAACATACATCTGTCTGTGGGTTATCTGAACCCAGCTGAGTTCAAAGTAGAGTTACAAAGGTCTTATACCATCCTGAAAAGTGGCAATACAAAATGTTCCTGATTCCAGCAGCTATAAGCATGCCTTTAACATTGGCAAAACTGTTCAGTCACTAGCTCATAACATGATATTTAGCCAACTACTTTTACTACTGCTGAAGGGGTCGTTGTCGGCACAGGTACTACAGATGTGTACCCCAGGTACGTTTCTGTATACAGAAATGTACCCTAGCCAAAATCAGAATACAGAAACGTACCCTTGGACGATTCCATTCTGCATTGTGGAGTTTTCTTCATCTGAATGGTCATACTGTTGTGTGGCAGGTGTATTTTAGCGTAAATATAGTATTTTAATCATATTATTATTCTCTCCTTTTAGCTTTATTATTTCTAGGCAGTTTAAGGTTTAAGCTTTAGAGCTTGGCCTGTCTCACTAATAGACCGATCCAGTCCCGGCCGATAAGCCCCGCCCACTTCGTTTTTGACGTTAGGGGGGACAACCACTGGCAAATCACAATGGCGTCAGCGCCGGCGAAACGTTACGTGATTGCGAGCGTTGTTGATGAATTCTGCTTGTGATACTTTGGTATCCGTCGTTTGGGAATGTTATTTAAAGAGGCAAGTTATACGTATGTGATTTTTAATATATTTTAGCTGGCAGATTACACCTGGCGAGTGAAAATGAGTTACATGCCCGATGAAAAAGCGTCTCGACTAGCTGCTGAGACTGTAGGAAGCTGTAATTTCTTTCAAATCGATTAATCTATCTGGCAATTCACCTCCGGCCACAGATATTAGCAGGGAAAGGATAACTGAATTTTGTTGTTTGGGTTTATAATTTTTAAAACTCGCGGAACACAACCACATGTTCATGTTGCAGATCGCTTCGCATCTATAAATAGATTATCAACACTGCGTGTGCTGCTTTGCTTATCCGGGGCTATGCGCTTGTTCAAATGTAGTTCAATAATCTGAAAACATGGGTTTCTATCTTTTAATGAATTAAGAGAATGGTAAATAAAAAGCAGAAAATATTTCCGCGCTACTACTTCATGCAATTTATTTGTCTGTACAATTGATGTAAACAAATCAATCACAGCATGACCTATTTGATCTTATTTGGAAATCTGGAAAAAGTAATTGGGCTTGTAAACAATATGTTTCCATGGACGATCTGGACATACCCAAAGCAAATATTCAACAGCTGATCTGCAGCAACTCTCAGTAAAGTTTCTCTCTTCAAAATCTGTACACCATGATAAAATGACACTGAATATAAGGAAATCATTTTTTTTAATCATCATTTCCATTTAATTTTTCTATATGTACTTTTGTTGTGGAATCCTAAATTACATACAAACTTCCACAATACTGGACTTCATGAACTGCCAGCGTTTATGTACAGGTATGTCACAGCACCAGAACACAAAGAAGATCCAAGATACAGTCTGCACCTGTACACTAGCTGACCCATCTTCCAGAAATAGGAAACATGTGATGCAAAATCTTGGAACAGAGAATCCACAGTTATCCCAACAATTAACTAGCATTGAAATAGAATGTTACACAAAATACAAATGTAGATCTATTGTTTTTTCATAGAGATGTTTAACTGCTAACTACTAGTGTAAAAATAAGGTGCAAAGAATATATCCTATGTTCAAAGCCTTCTGTCAATACAATTATTGCTTCTTAATTAAACAATGATAATCTTTGTTTTATTAGATCTGAGACAATACCTAGAGGACATAACACTGATTTTGATCTATTTTCCTTTCTGAGACACTTACTGGTGTCATAAAAATTATAGTAAAGTTGATTCAAAATTTGGTAAAAGTCATAACAAAGGTTTAGGAAAACAGACATGAAAATGTCCTGAAGCCGCTTCACCTCCTACAAACCAGTGTGCAATTTAATATGAAGCTCATTTTGCAAATAACCATCAACAAACCTTGAACAATTTGTCCAAATCCACCATCTTAATAAACACTAGCTTTGGCTCATTCTTCAAATATTAGTAACCTCCTAAAAACTTATGATTTATAAGAAGAATTACATCAAATATGGGTTAAATACATGTTTCAATCTTTATTCCGCTACATGAAAAGTCACCTGAGATTTTTGTAAGTTATTCTGTTCCAGGACTACATAATGCCTGACCAGGGTTTGGACCAAAACGTAGCCTTTTGCTTTTCAAATGTTCTCGATGTTGAAATAACTTTAATGAGTTATGATACTAGCAATCACTTTCAGAATTATCTTATTAGGTAGTATTTACAAAAACATCTCTAAGCAGGAGCCAAGAAACTGTTAATACCAAGTGATTGTCCTGCCATGCTATGTATGGTGTTTGTTTGCCTAGTTCTGCCTTTAAAATCAAAAAATCTGATATGTCAATCAATTAAATAATTATTTATTATTGATTAGATTATTATTAATTTTATTACTTCCACGTTTACTAAAAAAAAAAAGATTCTTAAGACATACCTTTTTATCATTTCGCAGTGAATTAATCAAAATTACAGTTGTAATATTACTCCTAAAATGTACCATTATATGTGAATAATTTATGTGGTAACAAAACTTCAAATAATGTTCTCTATAATTAAGATATACACTTTATTTCACTCCGGCATTCAATACTCCAGAAAGTCACTATTCTTCTCACATAGTTTTCAGTTCGATCAACCTGGAGGAAGGTAATTCAGTTCAAAAGTCCCATGCAACTCTTTATACAAAATCTGAAATATTTAAAGCGATGGTTTTATAGGCACTCATATGAACTAATTTTGATACTTGGATATTGCATGATAGGCAACTGCTGACACTCAACAATATTTCCGTTTAAAAAAATATTACTCCTCGAATATTTTGCTCTGTTAACAAGATGCTGTAGGCCTGATTGTGCTTAGGAAACTTAAAACATCCTAAAATGTGTGACAAATTGAAAGAATATCTAAGAGGCGAATGGGACAATATCCGCCACATTGTTCTTTCATGTAACAAGTTTTGCTATTTCGGTTGACCCTAACCAAATGAAGATTTGTTTACATTGTGTCCACGGCTTTCGGCCTGTCTCATTTGAGCTTTTATGGCGCACCAACTCAATGCCTAGTAGTGACTAAAAGCGTTAAAGCAAAAACAATTTTGTAGTTACAAGAATTATCATAACACTTGCAAAGTCTTTAAACTGCTATTTGTTGTCATCAATTGGTAATGATTTACGCACATGTGCAAAAGTGTGGACATAGATTAAAATTCTCATCAGCAGGCAGACGAGGGTTTCCTGATGGATGGTGCAGACATTTAACTGATCGTCAGGCCTCTCTGCGTTTTTGATCCGCTTCCATTTTTGTTGTCTTGACCGCATGGTTTTGTTAAGGTACACATTAAATCGCAACAATATCTAATAAATATAGCACAATGGAAATAAGTCTGACAAATGAACAAGCCACAGCACTACGACCTGTTGATTGCACACCCGACCGCCAGTTTTGATTGACAGACTGGATCGGGTCTATTGCCCAAGCCATGACGCTTCTCGGGCTGATTGGTCTCATTAACTCCATGCACAATTTCACTCATTCTGTACTGACTCTCTGGAACGTAAAAAGACAGCTTGGTGTGACATTAAGGGTTAGTATTCATTTAATTAAAGTAATATTGCACCTTTGCAGTATGTATATAATAAACGTTATGCTATGTACTAACATTTAAAAGGTATTATGTTTGTTGTGCTATGTATTTATCTAGCTTTTCATGTATATTATATGTCATGAATAAGTATCATAATTATGTTATTTTACTATCCCTTTCACTGATGTGTGAGATGAGAGAATGTGTTTTAATATAAAGTTGCTATGTTTTAACTGTGATAACTATAAGTGTATATTATTTTTTATCATCTAATATTATTTGCAGCAGATAAGTCCCGTCCATAAGTCTGGTGCTGTGCCCGATTGTTGTACACCCTTGTACCACCCACAGGGTATGTGTATATGCATAATTTATATATCCATGTATTTGTATATAGTACCATCAATGTAATGCGTGGTGACGAATCACTTGTGTGTATTACATTGTATGCATGTATCATCATTACGTTATTCTCGGGTAATGCTGTAATTTCATAATGCCCATATTTCATATGTGTTGTAAATAATGGTATTCATGCTTTGAGTATTATTGATAATTGTCCATATGTATTAACCGTGTATGGAATTATATGTATCTTGTATGAATGTGTGAGATGTATATAATATTATTATATTTATTGTTACAGGTGTCGTTTAACATTCAGCAATGTTTCATCCTTAATTAAATAAACAACCTCACACACCCCAGCAGAGTGGGTAGTCTATGGCGTACACGCTGACCCTGCTATGTTGTACAGATGCATTTGATATCGTAGAGAGCATACACAGTAACGAATATGTCAAAGCTCCAAGAACAATGAAAAGACTAGGGTCTTAGGCTAACCTACCGCGGACAGATTCCTGTGATTTTGTCCTTCTCTAGTATCTCTCCTTCTAGCTGTGGCCCAGGACCCGCGGCCTTCGACAGCAGCAGGACAATCAGCCCCCGGGTCTGCAGACCATGTTTCCCATCATACACCAGGCCTCTGAAGAACATGAACAGATTCAGTAATAGACGTAATATATTAAAACAAAAAACATACATCTGTCTGTGGGTTATCTGAACCCAGCTGAGTTCAAAGTAGAGTTACAAAGGTCTTATACCATCCTGAAAAGTGGCAATACAAAATGTTCCTGATTCCAGCAGCTATAAGCATGCCTTTAACATTGGCAAAACTGTTCAGTCACTAGCTCATAACATGATATTTAGCCAACTACTTTTACTACTGCTGAAGGGGTCGTTGTTGTCGGCACAGGTACTACAGATGTGTACCCCAGATACGTTTCTGTATACAGAAATGTACCCTAGCCAAAATCAGAATACAGAAACGTACCCTTGGACGATTCCATTCTGCATTGTGGAGTTTTCTTCATACTGTTGTATTAGATGCATTTGATATCGTTATATAAGAGCATACACAGTAACGAATATTTCACGGTGCACAACGTACACCACTCGCAATCAGCTGAACAGGAACAACTACATACGGTTTCGGTTTTGGGCTGCAGAATATGGACTCATCCGTCGTTTAGGGTACCTGGTACGTTTCTGTAGTTTGTCTTTATGTAGGGTACATGTCTGTATACAGAAACGTACCTGGGGTACATATCTGTAGTACCTGTGCCGACAACGACCCCTTCAGCTTTACTACTATATGCAGGTTAAATCTTGTCTCTTTTTTTTTTTGGTCACTTGCACCAAATACTAAATGTTGGAAGACATATTTCATACTGGCTCCTATGAAATGAATCACTCGAAATGTTACCACATATCTCGATTTACCTGGCCGTTCGTAGTAATGGATGTTGCGTTCCTACAAGTTTCCTCATGTGAAGAACGACATTAGAAATTTCATCGCTAAGCAAACACCGGAGGCTCATAAATGAAGTGGGGTAGCCAACTATCTTTTCGGCATTAGACACTGCTTTATTCCAGTCATTCGGCTCGCTGCTGCTACTCCAAAGGCCTACATGTCTTTGGCCCATTTGCAATGAATTCAGTACACGTGACCTTGGGCTGATGAAAACATTTGAGAGGTTTCGTGTAAAATTCAAGAAATGGTGTCTTCCTCTCCATTCTGTACTACACTGGTTTGCTTGATTATTCAAAGAGCGCGACAAACATCGCAAGAGGTTCCGTGAACACGAGCACATCTTGACTAACTACCATCAACTCTGTCGGATGATTACAAAACAGCAAGCGGCCATGCTCGCCAAATACATACAGATGGGAATCCCCTGTCAATCTAAAAATAGCTTTGTCGCTGCCATCACACACAAATCAACGTATTTACAGCATGTTTGCTTTTTTAGCATATATATCTAAAGTTTATTCGATAAAGAACACTAGAAATAATTAATGGCTGTATGTGTTCATAAATATTCAGAAAATCGATATTATTAATGTTTGACGGTGCCTAATGAAATATCACCCTATGTAAAATATACATATATTTCGGGGGTGGGTGGGGGTGGTGGTGTGTGTCTGAAGTGGCTTCTTTACTATCATTAAAATATCATTAAGAAGACAGGCTGACTTACAAAGACGGATTCACTTTATGCAGCGGTATGGTTGTGTCGTGTTCCGTTTCAACGCAGTTTCCTCGAAAGTGCTGTCATAATATTACCGGAGGCAAGTACCCTAAACACCGGCTGAGAAGGTGTGCCCAGCTGATAGAAGATCGAGTGCAATTAATCTTTAAATGAAAACAAAACAGTCTGGCATACATATCGTTTAAATTCTTTAGGTCACGATGTCCCTGCTTCACTCTTTAATAAAGATCACACGGGTAAGTTTAAACGTTATATTTACTCAACATTTTAAGTGTCAACAAAGCTCAGATACGAATGAAAACAGAAAGCGAAAGTAGGTCAGTTTATTTCAATTCTTGGAATGACAGGGCTACCGGGAAATGAGGTTAACACGCTCGGCGTTATCAGTTCCGAGAAAATCAAGGCTTGACTCCACACGTGCATTTGTTTGACAGCGTTACTGGATGTAAATCATGTAAGCATGGGAACAGAAAACAGGTAGGGTGCATTTGTTGTCAAGGTATCAATTATTTCTTAAATGCTTTATGTTTTATTTTGGTGCATTTCTGTACATAAAGCAAGCAATGCTAAGTTAGTAAGCCAGTATATTTTTTCCCCGTCATTCAGTCATTGATGGATGTTCCTGCTCACAAAGCGGCAAAATGCATGAATTTTTACTGTCAGTGTGAGTGTTTCGTCCTTCTTGCAAGTGATAACGTTTCTTTATATATTGTAACAGTACATCTAAACTGTACATCATAAATTTAAGTCTACCAACTTGAAACTTTAGTTTATATGATAATTATATAGTGTATGCCTCAAGTTTGATGAAGTACATCTTCTTGCAGCCCAATCTGGGCCTATAGTCTGTTTGCAGTGAAAACGCACCGATGAATTTCACTTTAAACAAAAAAGTAAATCAAATAAAGTGAAATTAATATTACGAATCGTCATAACTTTACCTTGCCAATTGAACATTTAAATCTCAGAGTTTTATTCATCTTAGGCTAAAAGTTGTTTCACAAACGATCATACATTGAAATCTCTGTCATTGGTTTGTATTACAAAGGGGTAAGCACAGTAGTTGGAACAGTGAAACAAATGCACGTGCGGTTCGTGTTGAGCATTAACTCAGATCAACTCTACTTGTTTTTGGTGTTTCAATTAATGTGCATACCCCCTTGTAATACAAACCAATAATAGCGATTTGAAACTATGATCGTTTGTTAAACAACTTTTATCCTAAGTTGAATAAAATTCTGAGATTTTAATGTTCATTTGGCAAGGTAAAATAATGAGGGTTCGCAATCATAATTCCACTTTATTCGATTTACTTTTTTGTTTAAATTGAAATTCATCGGTACGTTTTCATTGCAAACAGACTGTAGTGACTATAGCGTTCACTCGTCACGCCGAAGACCCAGGTTCGATTCCCCTGTATATGGGTTCAATGTGTGAAGCTCATTTCTGGTGTCCCTTGCCATGATATTGCTGGAATATTGCTAAAAACGGCATAAAACTAAACTCGCTGTATCCGCATAGGGTAGACCTTAAACAAACTGTATTCAAACAGTTCTCTTTATGATGGTTTCTCGGCAAGAAAAAAGTCAGCACTTAATGGTACCTTCCTGGCTCACATGTGGAAAAATGTGCAAATGTGTACGGTCGAACAGTCTTTACTTCACTGTTTACAAACAAACACGGTGCTACCGATCTTCTCCGGCAATCGAGACGATTAAGCAATCAGGAATTTGGTAATTTTATATTTGGAAAACTGTGGTGATATACATTGTGAACAAAATTTGAAAGGACACAAATGAAAGCAGTTTTCATATGTGTATAGACTATAATAATGATATAAGTGCATTAATCCATGCTTACTGAGTGCTCTAGGAGTAGTTGAGATGAAAAGTCATTCAGAAAATACATCAATTTATGAATAGCACTCAATAAGAAGGTTACACTGTTTTAGTAATAACCATATATTTTGCTAAATAGGGCTCACTAAGTTAAATATTCATAAGACAGGATTCTTACTTACCTAAACTCACACATCAGAGTCTTCAGTGGTCATATACCTGTAGATCAGGGTTGTGTTATACAAAGTGATCTTAGCGCTAAGGTGATCACAACTCCTAATATCTTAACACAAACATATGATAGGTGTAGTGCTGAAGTTTCTTTTTGTACAACGTAATTTTCAATAGTATATACATACCTTTATATCTACTATCATCGCTATATCATGAGGGTTGCTGTGATGCAAGCAAAACTGTAATAAATCTTTTAGAATGCCAAGAACTTATCTCCCAAATGTTTGCGAAGTTCAACCTGTATTTTTGAGGGCATTACTGTCTTCACCATATCGTGAATCGAAGGTTACTGTGATACCAGCCATGAGAAACTTCCAGGCTAAGTGTAATAAATCATTTAGAACGGTAAGCACTTTTCTCCAAGTTGTTTATGGAGGTAAACCCATATTTTTTGTGTAAGTCACAGATTTTGACACAGGAAACAGCAGTGTTATTGAGTACATAGCTTTAGCTATGCTTTGTAACTATTATCAGTGTAGTTTTAATTTTATCAATGTTCAAAGGTTATGTCCACTGCTTTGTCTCTGACAAACAAATTGCCATTGAGTCGTGTACAAGAGGTTTTGAAACATGCAGGGTGTTTATTGCAATGAATTCAGTTATCCAGCCCCCTTACCTCGATGTTACAAATATTGACCCTAAGTTAGGGTTAAGATTTGTACACTTTATGTGGTCCTGGAAAGTGATGAAGATTGTTTTGGAATGTTTTTCATAGATACAAATGCAGCAAAGAAACCTTTTTAGCATAGTTTTTGTGTTTAGCATTAAACAGGTATGTTCACAGACAGACAGATGGTAGGAGTGAAAAGGTATTCTGCAGTATTAGCAGAACGTGGTAGTTTGCCTTTGGTTCGGTATACCGTAATAAAGTCCAAATATTCGGTATTTTCGGTTTTTGTACCGTCATTTTATTAATCTTTTTAAACCTTTTCTAAAATGTCTAGAAATCAATTCATTTTGTCAAAATCTATCTAGGTTTGGCTCTTGTTGTAAATTTTCTGCATAGTGATCACAGGGCTCCAGATAAGGGCCATATCGGCATATGTACGGATAAAAAATATGCATGATATGGTAGGAAATAATTTAGAAAACGTAGCAGATATGCACCACAGCAATGGTGTATGGTCTTAGAATCATTTACAGACGTATTTATCTGAGTAGCAATGTTGTGGTGCATATATGAAACAAAACACAAGATTACTGATACGCCATTAAATTCCATTCAGTACTCTAAATGTACTCTTAAGTTTTTCCAGTACTCCTATATACCATACTGTGGTAACAGTTTCACACCTAACAAACATACAGACAGAGAAGGACAAACAGAGTAAAAACAATCCATCACACACATTTGTAATATATACTATATTATATACTAGCAGCAACAGCTGTTGTTTAAATTCATCAATGTTTTCTTCATTTATCAAAGTTTGAAATGTCATTGATAAAATGTTCATCTAATAAAATTTTATTATTAACGGTGGAACGTCAGCTTGTGTCAAATTACATGTTCTGCAAGTTTTGACATATGACACTGTGCCCAGGGCTTGTGTGTGTATTGATTCATACTTTCAATTTCTGTCAGGTAGTTCATGCTAGAACTCCATATGGTTACAAGGTGCTCCAAATCCCATGGGCAACCATGACATCCACTGCCGATCAGATCGTCGGAGTGCTGGATTCAACATTCATAGCCCAGGATACCGGTGTCCATATTCAAGAGGTAAAATTATAGTTTGGAAATGTGGTTTCATTTTCTTGACGGTTTACAGGCATTTTATCTAGACCTGCCCAGACACCAGTATTCAGCCCAAACCTAAAATAAGTGTGAGTAAAATTGTCCAAATTGAAATTAACTATTTCCTGGTTCATGTTAATAATGTTACTTCTTAGAAAGTGGTCAAATTATTACCTTAGTATGGGTAGTACAGAGGAAGAGGATTTAATGCTAAATGTTGCACTTTCTACACCAAAATGTTATAATCCACAGAATTTAGGAAAGTGAGAAGTTTAACTTGTTCCGGTTGTTAACAAAAATAAAGATTTTTTTTCGATACCGACCAAGGTAATTTAGTCTGGAATACTTCCCAGTGGTGCAACATGTGGAATCCATTTTGGGTGTCCCAGACAGAATATTGGTGAAAATGGCCTAAAAAATAAAGATTCATGTTATCAAAGAACTTTTTATATGAAATATGTGTAACAGATATGTTATTTCCTGTAACATATTTGCTTCCTGTAACGTGTTTAAGATCTGTTGACACTTTTCTCTCCACGTGTATGTCACTGTACACGATTCTTTGCATCTTGTTTTATAGTCAGTCCCATGGAATCTAGAGAATGAATTAAGTCTAGAATGATAGCACAACTCTAGATAGACTCAGCTCCAGACATTACGGATTGTTCTGAGCTTCATTTGGATTTATAGAAATAAGTTTTTTATATTTTTGCGTGTGATAACATTATTTCTGGGTCCAAATGTCAGTCAACCTTTGTAAGTTTTATACCATATGTGCATCATTAGGTCATGGAAGCTCTTGTCGGGATATATAGGCAGTTGCCAGGCAAATAGTGGGAAACATCACTACTTCCTTTGAGGTTCTTTCATTCCACCGCCTCCGTGGTGTAGTGGTTAGAGCGTCCGCCCGGGAGAGCGGAAGGTTGCGGGTTCGATCCCCGACCGCGTCATACCAAAAGACGTTAAAATATGGTACTTGTTGGTCCCTGCCTGGGGCTCGGCATTAATGGGTACAACAAGGACTGGTCGGCTCGGAGTCAGTATAATGTGTCTGAGTGGGGTATTCATGCTTCACTGCGGCATGGTATCTCAGTGGGCTAGCACTATAAAACCAGCTTAAGTCTGGGCTCGTACAAGTAGCCGCACTTACATATACACATGAATGCACATTGTCATATGAGCGAACTATTCTCAAGCACGATGTTAAACCCAATTTCACCTCACCTCACCTTCTTTTATTCCCGTATTCTGTGATTGCAAAGTGCAGGGTCCTGATCCACAGAACAATCGTAGCGCTACAACATTCTAAGCCTATGATAAACAATAGAGTTACGACAGGTCGTAACGTAACAAACACTTTGTGGATCGGGCCTTGTACTGTAAAACCAAACATGAAGCCTTTTCTTCTTTACTGGTCCTGCTGTCAGTGATATATACCTTACTTCTTCCACATGTCAGGTCAGTTTTTATTTCTTTATTCCAATTTGGGATGTCTTACTGACGTTTGCTGCAGATTTGGGATAGTATATATTGGTCTCTGGTCAGGTCAAGTAAGCTGTTTGCATTCACTTATTTCCTTTCCTGTCACTACCTGATTCTTTCCTATTTGATATCTACTTAGAGAACTGAAGGAATCAGTTTGACTAGGTCGCAAAAATCCCACATAACCAACTTGTACTAATATAAAAAAAACAAGAAAAACCCACATCCCCCCAAAAAACAACAAAAAAAAAAAAAAATAAAAAAAATTTAAAAAAATAAACAAGAAAAAAAAAGAAAGAAACAACAACAACAAACAAACAAACAAACACAAACAAAACAAATACCAACCAAACCACCCTCTAGTATAGTTCCCCCTGCAACTTCTGGCAAATTTCCAAATTCAAACTTTATACACAAATTAATTCTGCAACCCTAACACCCCCTTAAGATTGCTCTATCTTTGTGTCATTATCACCCCTCCTTTGATCAAACCCGAAATGGCCTGTGTGCGAAATACACATTATATCGGAAAGACCACGATCAATTTCCAAATCATCATCATCAGTTTGACTGCATGTCTGTGCTATTTGTTGTTGAAGTTGAATAATTGTACACCTTAAATGTGGAGCTCACATGTAAATCTTTTGATAGATAGCATTGTATTGTTATGTGGAATGGCAAACAAAGTACATATCGTGACAGAAATCTGCAAATAATATTTGTTGGCTGGATAGTATTACCACTGATCATTATCAAATACAGTCGGACCCGGACGGAGAATTATCAAACCATTCCCATAGATTTCCATTGAAAAATGATCCTGCTATCCGGACAGAAAGCTCTGTATGCATGTGCATATGCATATGCATGTGTTTGTTACCCCACGAGTAAGTGTATACATTGTTAATCTCTCGGGAGGCGGTTTGATTTGAATTGATTAATTACCCATCAAAACACTAGGGACGCGTGCCACTTCAGTTGTTAATTAGGATTTAGCAGGTGTGAGAACATCTCATCAGTAACGAAAACACAGGTTAATTAGGATTAGGATTAACTCAATTGTAATTGTACTGTATATAACGTCTCGTCCATATACATCGTCAATACGTTTTACTTGTTTGATCCAGTTAACCGGACGTCTCACTATCCGGACAATTTCTGAGTGTAACCAAAATGTCCGGATAAACAGGGTTCGACTGTATTCTACAATGCGCAGAGGCTGCATTGGCTGGAAGCTTCAAATTCCTGCATTTAAGAGATTTAGTAAAGTTAGTTGATGTTGGGCAATTTGTAGCCTTGTATTAGTCTTTAGTTCACAGCTGTCAGCTTGAGACTGAAACAGTCAAAGCCAAAGATTTCATCAGCTGGCAAACTGATGCCACATTTTTTCATATTTTTTTTTATTTCAAAAGATCCTTGAAGTGAACTACCTCCGAATAGTTAGACCAATAATGGTTAATATCATTTAGCTGCATGGGAATTCAAGGCTTCACTTCTTACACTAAGTAGTATCTTAGTGATTAAAGCATTCATGCCAAAGACTTGGGTTTGATTCACACATGGGAAATTCTTCAGGTAACTCTTGAAACTTGCTGGCCATGTTAAAAGTAGTCTGTCCATGGCCTTCATTAAACATTTTTCAACAATGATATTGAGATCTACTAATTAATTCTATAATTTAATTTTTCAATATTTAGATTGTCTGGTCATAACTTGCCTTAGAAACAAACTGCACGTCTGTTGGACAGGTTAACTCGAAACATATCAGTCAGTGTTAAAAGTTGTTATTACACATACAGGCTAGGATACACAGGTGATTAATTTTGTGATAATTGCATATGTGCTTTTCAGTGATTCTGAACGTTGATTGGTCAGCTAAGCAGAGAAGAAATATGATTGGTTGACGGAACTACTTTTCATGATCCAAGTTCATTGACAACTTTTACCGTTTCATTGATAATTATAATGCGATGTACTCATGCCGAGACTTAAAAAAGAAAACATAAAGGCTTAAGAATATGAATGCTCTTTTTATTAGACATTATTATTTTACAATAAAATTGTGTTATAAGTAGTCTTTTTAAAATAAATAATCTTTAAAACAAAAAAACAATCGTTTGCATTGTTTGTAAACAGACATGGCCACCATTAGGCTAACCCTGATTAAGATCAATGACCTAGTTACAGTTGATGGTGACCTAATAGGAAGAGTGATAAGAATTTTACAGCCCTTGAATTCCTACAACCTGTTTGTTGTTAAAACTGAATTCGGGGAAATAGAAGCAGCAAGATACCGTAAAGGTGTTACCTGAAAGTGTGACAAGTGAGTCTGCCACGGCATCCATGCCATTGAACCAGAAAACAGCTACTTTCTTACCGGAATCAGTGCTAAATGATCTTCAAGATGACTTTTTGAACAATGAAAATGAAAACACTATGAAAAAAGAGATAGGCTCAAATTTCTGTCGAACAATGAAAATGAAAAAACTTGGCTCGACATTAACTTGGTAAACAAATTCCTTCGGGAAAGTTTGCATGACAGTAGACAGCTTCAAGATATCCCCCAACTGAACTGAATACAATTTTGTGCAAGTTCTTCATTTCTGCGAGGAAATCGGACGATCAGAGTATGAACCATCTACTTTGAGAGGAATCAAGGGGCGTATTGAACGTCACTTGAAATGCCATGATTATGGGCACTTGTTAGCCGACTCTGTTCATTTCATTAAACTTCGAGATGTCTTGAACTCCAAAATAAAATCATTAAAGAAACAAGGTAAGGGCAACCTACCTCAAAGAGCGGATCCTGTTTCCGATTTAGAGCTGAAAACACTCTGAGAATGTGGACAGCTTGGTACTAGTACTCCGGATAGTCTTTTGAACACACTTTGGTGGAACAATACCGTCTATTTCGGCCTTCGATCCGCTACCCCTCACAGGCGCATGCTTTGGGGAGATGTGACATTAAGGAAAGATTCAGAAAATGATGCGGAATGTCAAACAAAAACCCGGCAGGGTGACCAGTGTCGTGATGTGGCTCCCAAGGCATGTGCTCAACCCGGGGACGAGTGTTATCCGGTAGCTGTGTACAAGCGGTATCGGGATTTGAGACCCAAAGATTATTGCAACCCAAATCATCCTTTTTATATTGCTACCAATACACAGTTTGGTGTCAAATCTGGGAACACGTGGTTTAAATGCCAACCTGTTGGAAAAAAAAACTTGGCTCCATCATGAAAAAAATGGCAACCAAAGCTGGACATTCCTGCGACAAACGTTTGACAAATCATAGCCCCCGAAAATGTCTCATCCACACCCTCTCTGACAATGGTGTACCAGGACATCAAATCATGCAAATTTCCGGGCACAAAAATGTTCAGTCAATAAACAGTTACTCTTCAATTAATGAGAAACAACATCAGCCCATCAATAAATTGTTGTCAAACCCATGTAACTCCACCACTCTGCCCACTCAGCCTCAGCCTCAGATTGCCATCATGACATCACAGTCTTTGTCGCATGCCGTAATTCTTCATTCTGTACATACACTATTCTCAGGTCCAATTAATGGTGGTGTATTCGACTTGAACATCTCGAATGACTCCACGTGTTAGTCGACTATCTGCTCCAAAGAGGCGTATTCTTCCCATTGATTCGGATACCGACTAGAGTTATCCTTCTTGGAAATGCTGGACTCTACTGGGACCAATGACTGTAACACACCTTCCACAGAGCAAAATGTTGTTTAATCTTCAAACTTGTTGAGTTTCTTGATAGAAAACCTTTTCTAGATGTATTCGTGGGATGGTTGTCTTTTAGATTTCCCAAGTTTTAACCGTTGACTTTCCCCAAAATTGACATAGTTTTTCCCAAGTGTGTTTCAACGCTACACTGTCACTCAGACACACGTCCAGTCATGAATGAACAATGTTCTGGCTCTGACTTGATCAAATAACGTTTTGCTCTTACTAAATTACATTGATGGGTATTTAAAATATCATTTTACCATATTAACAAATGTTAATAAATTATTCCATAAAAATATTTTTGTTGTATTTTAAAGCGACTTTGAACATTATTTCAACTAGTTATATCACTCACTGGAGAAGTTAGTTGTTCTCTAAATATTTTACAGGCGGTTTGAGGTCATAAGTCCTATATAAAAAACCTTAATAACCTTCTGTAATGGTGATTTTGTATTCCTAAATAAAAGTTTCTGCAGGTATACTCAAAGAAATCAAAGTCCTTCTCTTGAGCTCATTATGGGTAAAAATAGAATAGAGTGATTACGGAAATATGCCTACAGAATTGGGTTGTTCTCTAATGAATGAACTTATCTTGAGCGAGCCACAGTTGCTATGCAAAAATAAAAAATCCAGCACTAAGTGAGATCAGACAAGGTCAAAACCTAAACAATTCATACACATATTTGATGGGTACAGGACATATAGCCTTACAAACATGTGGTCAATACAAAATTGTGTCCATTACGTATTTGTATCCAATAATCAGATATTGTGGTGTAAAAAATGCAGATGACATTGATAACAGTGTGTCAACTGTCTCAAATTTCCAGAGAGATACGACAGGGACTCAAGTATTTCTTTTTCTTTTATCTGAAGCAAGGTCTTGAATGTCAGTGATCAGGCTTATGACATAGATTTGGGAGCTGATATGCTGTATTACCTGGTGCGACGTTCTACGAAAGCCATTGAAACAACCTCTTTTTCCAGGAAATGGTTATAAATAGGTCAGTTAGCTTGCTGACAGCGTCAGAAATTGATCAGACTTGTTGAATAGACAATCTCCGGATTATTGACAGTTAGCTGACGCTTTCTTTGTGTTCTTTGTCTCTTTAAATAAGTTTAATGTTGGGATAGTGTGTTGGTTGTGTTGGGAGTGAGAATTTCCCATTCCAGCTACCAAGTGTTTGTTATGATTATGTATTTATTCCTGGTTGATTGACTACACATCCTACACAACATGTGGTATATTTGGGATTACACTTTCTCAGTAAAGTAGAGTTTCGAGTTTTGGGGGGTATCATTTTGGACTCCGTCTCTGTGGCCATCCGTCCCTGCAAATTCGTCTTTTGCTGGAACAGAACATAAAAAGTGTTCAATATTTCTTCACCAAACTTGGCACATAGATAGGTCTCGTAGTGAGCTGGTGCCTTTTGCATGTCTGAATAAAATATTGTTTGCATTTCCATGGCAACAAGTTTGACTTCAACTGAAATTGGTGGTAGTGCTCTTTTCCGGAAAAGAAATTAAAAACCTTTCAATACTCTCTTTCCACTTTGTGGGTATCCAAGAACCCAAAGACATACATCAACAGTACCACTCTATATCAACATTACCGAGGTACATCAAACCGTAATTTGACATAGTCATAACTAGTTGACATATTCAGTATTTTACCATTGCTGGGGATACTGATGACTTTGTCTCCTTTTGCCTCTTTACAACAAGCATGGGTTGCTCAAGAACTATACTAACCCAGATCTTAACAGGTCACATAAGAAATGAGGTTAACCTCAAGTTAACACTGCGACTGTCATCTTTGTGATGGACTCCCATATCCTGCTTCAACATCATGACCGTATAACATAGATAGTTCACTTTGTTGTTAATCACTGGCTTCCAGACCAAGATATAAATATTTAAAGGCTGCTGTGGTGTTATATAAAACATTTATTCACTGCATGTATTTACACTCTGTATCAATGTCTAGGTCACCAAAGTGGATTTGTTCTTGTAGATGTTAAGATTATTGTAATGTTTAACAATTGTCGCCAAATATATATCGGAAGTTACATTGAAAATTCCATTTTAATGACGGGGGTGGTGGAGTAGGATGGTGGTTAAAGCGTTTGCTCATCATGCTTAAGATCCGGGTTTGATTCCCCACATAGGTACAATGTGTAAAGCCCATTTCTGGTGTCCCCCAGCCGTGATATTGCTGAAATATTGCTAAAAGCAGTGTGAAACTAAACTCGCTCGCCCTTTTAATGACCAGGGCCCACTTGCACAAAGCGATTTTAATACTACAATGATCATAACTCCAATACTCTAACATAGATATAATATTGTCTTAGTACTAAGATCACTTATATTTGTGCAAGTGGGCACAGGGCTCAGTTCATTTCATCTGAAAACTAACTTTTTGATGCCTATTTTGTCCTCAGACAAAGCAGTTTCAGGGCTTCAGATAAGGGGCGTATCGGTGTATGTATGGATATAAAATAAGCACAATATGGTAGGAAATAATTTATAAAACGTAGCAGATACGGACCACAGCAATGGTGTACGGTTTCAGAATCATTTTTAGACGTATTTATCTGAAAAAGTATTGTTTTATTGTTTACTGACCTGTTTACACAAGAGTAGCAATGTTGTGGTGCATATATGAAACGAAACACAAGATTACTGATACGCCATTAAATTCCATTCAGTACTCTAAATGTACTCTTATTGTTTTCCAGTACTCCTATATTAAAAAAATAAGGAGTACGTACTCCTGATCATGAAAAATTATCTGGAGCCCTGAGTTTGTTATCATATTTGCACAATCCTGTTCTTGGTAGACCTTCAAGTCAAGGTTTATCTGTTCCTCAGGGCAGTGGGGTAGCCTAGTGGTTAAAGTGTTCAACCCATCACTCTAAAGACCTGGGTTTCATTCCCCACATGGGTACAATGTGTGAAGCCCATTATGGGCTCCAGCCGTGATATTGCTGGAATATTGATAAAAGCAGTGTAACACAAAACTATCTCCCTCACTTTATGTTCCACAATCAGATAATAGATGACTACTTTTCACTGGATGTTGCACACATGTTCTCATTATCGAAAAGAGAAACCTGCGCAGAAGACCGGATCTGATGTAATCTATATATTCCCAATAAACCAGGCCAGCTGTTGCCTCGTAATGTAACAAGTATTTATTGAAGGTTGACCAATAAATAATTGGGATCTAAAAATAGTGCAGACATTTCTAAGTACTAACAAAACTATTAAAAAATAACTTTGATTCGGACATCATAAATTATATTGACCATTTCAACTTTAATTTGTACTCATTTCTAGTTGTATATTTTCCATTATGAAGTATGTACATGTAGTTACTATGGTTACTCTGTTTGCAGCAATCAAATTATAGGCCTGCCACACAATTGGTAGCAGTGTTTGCACCAATTTTTGTTGACAGAACCATGGTTGTTTGTCTCCATTGTGTTAGGGGCAGTAGGGGGTAGCCTAGTGGTTAAAGCTTTCTGCTTTTCATATTGCTGGAAGATGAGGGTACAATGTGTGAAGCAGACCATTTCTGGTGTCTACCTACTACTACTACTACCCTGATATTGCTGGAATATTGCAGGCCAAGTGTAAGTCTTTCATCAGCTTTTACAGGAATCTAAATGCTCAAGGAGACAGAAGCATGTTTTTGAGACTGATGGCTGAACGATATGGAATAAACCACGACTATGTGATGCAGTTGTCTAGGAACCTCCCGGCGGCTCAGGTAATCAGGGCTTGATTAGATGATTAGTCTGCCATTTGATACCTGTCACTTGGTGTAACAGTCCCAATTGATACCTAGAACTTGTGAAGATAGTCACATTTAATACCTACAACTTGCAAAGACAGTAAAATTTGATGCCTAGAATTTGTGAAGACAGTACCATTTGATACCTAACACTTGTGAAGATGGTACTATCTGATGCTACCCGGGTAGAATTGATCTTCAGTAACCCATGATTGTCGTAAGAAGCAACTAACAAGATATGGTGGTCAGGCTTGCTGACTTGGTTGACACATGTCATCGTATCCCAGTTGCGAAGATCGAAGATCAGTTCTAACCCGGACCTTCACGGGTACTTAGAACTTGGGAAGACAATGCCATTTAATACAGATACTTTGATACTTGGGAAAACAAAGCCATTTTATTCCTTGCACCAGGGTGGCGTTGTACAAAGTACCTTAGCGCTAACACTACCTTAAGTCTATGTTAAGGTATGGGAGTTACGGTTGTCTTAGCGCTAAGACTACGTACCTTAAGTCTATGTTAAGGTATGGGAGTTACGGTCATCTTAGCGCTAAGACTACGTACCTTAAGTCTATGTTAAGGTATGGGAGTTACGGTCATCTTAGCGCTAACACTACCTTAAGTCTATGTTAAGGTATGGGAGTTACGGTCACCTTAGCGCTAACACTACCTTAAGTCTATGTTAAGGTATGGGAGTTACGGTCACCTTAGCGCTAACACTACCTTAAGTCTATGTTAAGGTATGGGAGTTACGGTCACCTTAGCGCTAACACTACCTTAAGTCTATGTTAAGGTATGGGAGTTACGGTCACCTTAGCGCTAACACTACCTTAAGTCTATGTTAAGGTATGGGAGTTACGGTCACCTTAGCGCTAACACTACCTTAAGTCTATGTTAAGGTATGGGAGTTACGGTCACCTTAGCGCCTAACACTACCTTAAGTCTATGTTAAGGTATGGAGCACGGTCTTAGCTTAAGACTAATACCTTAAGTCTATGTTAAGGTATGGGAGTTACGGTCATCTTAGCTAACACTACCACCTTAAGTCTATGTTAAGGTATGGGAGTTACGGTCACCTTAAGCGCTAACACTACCTTAAGTCTATGTTAAGGTATGGGAGCTATACGGTCACCTTAGCTAACACTACCTTAAGTCTATGTTAAGGTATGGGAATTACGGTCACCTTAGCGCTAACACTACCTTAAGTCTATGTTAAGGTATGGGAGTTACGGTCACCTTAGCGCTAACACTACCTTAAGTCTATGTTAAGGTATGGGAGTTATGGTCACCTTAGCGCTAACACTACCTTAAGTCTATGTTAAGGTATGGGAGCTATGACCACCTTAGCGCTAAGATCACTTTGTACAACGGTACCCTGGGCAAAAGGATGCAACAGTATGCAAAGGTTATATGCAGACTGAATGTTATTATTTCAGCAAAACTTTTATCTCAAAGGTTTCTCTGACTTCAAAATTCAATGTTGCCACCATGGCAGAGATTTTCAAAGTCAAAGTTTGCACCATAACTTGGCCGATATTGGTGAGGATGTAGTGGGGACGTTACTACTTACTTCACCATGGGTTGCCTGGTTTGTTGAAATCTGGTTCAGAACATTTTAATCAGTAAAACCAGGGGAAAAACTAGACAAGACAATTCTTGAACAAGTTTGACAAGACACCCATGTTTGGGTGTACCTATTGTAATTTAATTGTGCTAGCAATTAAAAGACATTTGAACCAATTTGATGAAAGTTGTTTCCCATGACTTAAGATGAGCTGCTGTGATGTGGACTGACTGGTTGACTGAGTTTGGTTTTGCCGCTTTTAGCAATACTCCAGCAACATCATGGCGGGGGACCAGAAATGGGCTTCACACATTGTACCCATGTGGGGATTCGAACCGGGTCTTCGGTGATGAGCCAATAACCACTACTAGGCTACCCACACACTTTGATGTGGAATGTTTATCTCAAGTTTTATTTGAGAGTCATAATTCCTTATTTCATTATATTTTTGATGACCGAAATTAATTAATTTTGTGAATTGTTCTGTGGTATTATTATATTTTGTTATGTTTTGTTATGTATATTTGTTGAGAAAAACAATTATCACTGGCTTTCTATGATGCCAAGGTGTTGTCAAAATAGTCTCTCAACAAAACCCCCCAAAAACATTGAAAGTCAAAACCCTCAAGCTAGTTTGCTTTTGATTACTATTCATATTAAATGCCTGTGGCATTGGAACTAAAACTTCCTCCGTCATATGTACATGTGGTTGTATTGACCTGTTTTGTTGTTCCTGAACTAGGACCGCAGTGAAGCGATGTTGTTGAAAACGGAGGAGAGGTTGCGAAGTGCTCTGATGCCACGGTATCAACAGTTGTTTGGTCAGATTGGCAAGGTGGACAGCGGGGTCAAATTTCTGGTGGACATGAGAGTGGATGTGCTGGTCAGTTGCACAAATTTTGGTGTTTCAGTCTTATTACATGATGGAAATGGTTTAAAAGAACATTGATCTCATATAACAAATGATAACAGCAATGTTTTCATATATTCATAGCTTTGGTACACATGCATTACACCGGACAACTACCTACCATATTGGATTAGGTCACAAACCCTATCCCTAAACCCCAATCCTAAACCTCTCAACTGACTGATTGACTGAGTTTGGTTTTACGCCGCTTTTAGCAATATTCCAGCAACATCTCACCAGAAATGGGCTTCACATATTGTACCAATTGGGGATTCTATGATGGACGAGCCAACGCTTTAACCACTAGGCTAAGCTAAACCTCTGAAAATAATAGTAATATAGATATTAACAGAAGCTGCGAATAATAGAATATAATCGAATGCATTTTTACCCACAACTTCATATCAATATGGACATTTTTCTTTCTGTCTGCATTTGAAATATTTCAGATATTTGTGGCAAAGACATGGCATCCTAACTGTAATGACAAGATATGAACATGTCATGAAACTGTTGCCATTTAGTTCGAACTGTTTATTTTCAAATATTTCACTCTTTACTTGCATCCTGCACTGAGCTGACAAGCTGTTTTATAACTAAAATACTCTTAAGGATATAAGGATCTCCATTTACTTTATCTGAGAAGGAAAGTCATCCCTTACATTTTCTGACTGCTAACAAATACCTTGAAAATTTGAGGGTAGATCAGGTGGTCAGCTTTGCTGATTTGGTTGACACATATCATTGTCTCCCACATAGTTATGCTAATAAAGTGGAAACTGCCTAAGTAAAGACTGCCTAACTAAACAGACCTGATAAGTAAACACTTTTCCTTGGTCCCGGCAAATTTCTTCATTATTTATCACTATTAGAGTCCTGTTAACTAAACTTGGATAAGTAAACAATACCGCTTAACTAAACGTCTTCTCACAGTCCCTGGAAGTAAATTACTTAACAAAAGAGACTGGATAACTAAATTAGTGATCACCACATAATCCGACATGAGGGGCAGTTGTGTCAGTCTCCAGTCAAACAAACATCCTACTTACAGCTCGCTGGCGTCAAGCAGTTGACAATACACTGACAACTGGAGGCCAGCCCTGATAAGTGGTTCATTGTTACATATGCATACATATACATGCATATGGTTGTCATTTGCAGATTTTTATAGGTTTGGATAAGTAAAATACCTGATAAGTAAACAATTTTGGCGAGTCCCTTGGAATTTTACTTATCAGGTTTCCACTGTATTTGTATAACGCCAATATCCAGCTCAGCTGCTCAAAGGCGCTTTGTTTTTCCTTCGATCACTGGATGTCAATCTCAACGGCACATCATATTATCAATCTCAACTCCCTGGGGAGCATTGAACTCTTGCAGCCACCAGGCGCACCGAGTTATTGCGGCTTTCCCATCCTTACAAGGGACCCATTCACAGCTGGGTGGACTGGGACACATAGTCACAGTACTTTGTCCAAGTTTACTGTCCATTGCTGTACCCACAACTAAGTGTTTGCACATATTCATGTGGCCACCATCTGGTCATTTACCAACATATTCGTGATTTCTATTAAGTGCACAGGGTTGTGTACTGTACACTAGGGGTTGTGAAAACACTGAAAGAGTGTGCACACAAAGTTGACTCCAAGGTTTTTACACCCGGTCACAGGTGGATTCAATCACGGCACCTCAAGCTCGCTCGATCACTAGCCTGGCGCCTTAGACAACTCACCCACCACGCCCCCAAATGCGTAGATCAGTGCTCATACTGTTGATCACTGGATTGTGTGGTCAAGATTCGATTATTTACAGACCGCTGCCACACAATTAAAGTGAGTGAGTATCTTTTAATGCTGCTTTTAGCAATATTCCATCAATATCACAGGCGGGAGACACCAGAAATGGCCTTCACACATTGTATGTGGGCAGGACACCATATTGCTGGAATATTGCTGAACAACAACGATAAAAATCTAACAGCCTGTTGAAGATTTTATGTTATGCTCCCCAGAACTCTATGTCGACCTGCACCAATGAAGTAGACATGGCGTACTATCAGTCTCTGAACCTGTCCCTCAAGGAGCTGCTGGTGTTGTGGTTCTCCGTGGGTCTTCTCAACCTCCAGCGGGTCACGTGGGAGTCACCTTGTGACATGGTCCAGAAGGTTTGTGCAGAATCGTACTCTTTACACACGCTGAGAAATGTAGTGTCACCGAGAATATGGTTAGGCTCGATATTAGAAAAAAATCTGGTGTGCTTGGTGGCAATGGACCGTTTTTTAGGTGTACCGTGTGTGTTTTACCCAATATTTATAGCGAAAGGTTGCTAATTCATTAGATCAGATTTTTTAATGACATAGATAATATACTAAGGGGTGGAAAACTATACCTGCCATCATTCAAGCATGAAGTTGCAAACTTGAAGAAACAATTAATAACACAACCAATAACATACAGATGCCGATTAAAGTAAAATAATATATGAGTGAGTGAGTTAATATTTAACGTCACATCGGCAATAGAAAATAATATATGAACACGTATTGTCAATCAAAAGGTACTAATTGGATCACCAGTTGACAGCTGGTCGATTGACCCACTGTGGACCAAGTCATTTCATTTAATGATGTTATTTTCTCTACAGATAAACATTTATGTGCATAAGTTGCATAAAAAAACAATTTCGGTTTGGGCTAAGCAAGGGTTAATTGGCTCTTTACAGCATTTGACTCAATTTTTAAAATAAAATGCACAAACATTATGTCAAGTTGTATTCAGCCCAATTGGTTGCGCATATTCTTTGTAAATGTTTGCAAAATATGATCTATTTATCCACATAACATACATCAAACATAGTCATACCTTGGCAGAAACCAGATTACTAATAATTTCTTACACTGATTTGTTTACATCTCTGTGATTGCATTAGGAGCTATACTCGATTGTCTTCCTGGCTTGTTGTCTGCGACTAACGGGATCGGGTGGTCAGGTTCACTGATTTGGTTGACACATTTCATCATATCCCAATTGCATAGGTTCATGCTTTTGATCACTGGATTGTCTGGCCCAGATTTGATTATTTACAGACCGCCGTCATATTGCTGGATTATTGCTGAGTGTGGTGTGAGACAGCAAACAAACAAACAAACAAACACTGGGGAATATCTCACAATTCTCAGCTCCATGGGGTTTACCCCCCTCAGGATCAAGGTTTGCTCTTAGCTCCCTGGGAAGTATGACCCTTGTCAGAGTGTAAAGGGGAGTATGATCCAGCCAATAGTTCAGTGGACATTTACTTTACATTCTCAACTTCCTGGGGAGTATGATCCAGCCAATGGATCAGTGCACATTTACTTTACATTCTCAACTTCCTGGGGAGTATGATCCAGCCAATGGCTCAGTGCACATTTACTTTACATTCTCAACTTCCTGGGGAGTATGATCCAGCCAATGGCTCAGTGCACATTTACTTTACATTCTCAACTTCCTGGGGAGTATGATCCAGCCAATGGCTCAGTGCACATTTACTTTACGTTCTCAACTTCCTGGGGAGTATGATCCAGCCAATGGCTCAGTGCACATTTACTTTACATTCTCAACTTCTTGGGGAGTATGATCCAGCCATCTGCTAGGGAGTATCACCCATCATATGGCGCAATGTCAATGTATGAAATAAGGGACTTCCGTCCGACCGCCTGAGATGGGGTAGATTTCTGACGGACGGTCTAAATTTACAGCTAGCCAGCCCTATGGTATGGTAAAAAATTTAGATAACATGTTCCATACATCTGAATAAATTCATCATATGTTATAATGTTTTTTGACAAATTGAGCATTACATTTAGACTTGACAATTACTGTTTGAACATTGAACTATCGTATCGCAAGCTCAAAGTATGCGTTGATAGTGATAGCTGACAGGCTACAAACGTTTTCTGTACATATATTTATGTGCAAGTATAAAACACAGCATATATTGAGAGATTCTTAGTACTGTTGATTAAATGAAATTGGATAAAAAAATAGTTTAATTAATGATGAATTGAGACACCAAATCAAAATATTTGGATTTTTGTGAGAAACATGATATGAAAATTGTAACAGGTGTTATTTATTAATTTAATGACATTTTCTGATTTTAATGATAGCAACATGTTACATGTGAACATGAGAACCTGAATTCAATTGAATCATATGCTATTTTTAAATGTTCAAGCTATGGTGCAAGCTGATTAATTTTCCACATGTTCACTTGCTAGTAGATATTAATAAGTTCAACATAATTTCAATTTTGACTGATCTTACACCATCTGTTGCACGTTCCACATCAAAGAAGAGGTCTACTCTGTGATCTAAGGGAGATAACAAATGAGTGGAAGTGAATTACCTCCCTTGTTAGAAGAACATCTCTTTGTTTTTCAAGATGGTTCAGGTGGTCAGACCCTGTGGTTTGGAATTCTTGCAGAATATTCTGATGACATCAGATGTATTATTGATATTAATCAATGGATTGTCTGCCCCCGAATGATATATTTTCTGGCCATTGTCAGTTGGCCATCAAACAACAATCGACTTGGATTGAAAATGCATCTGATTTTATAACCGCTTCACTGGGCATGTATACTACACTGCCGCACTACTCCCGCTTGACCGCCAACATGGCTGCTATCAACACAACAGATGAGATGGAAATGTTAATAATGAAACATTAATTAAAACTCAAAAATACAATTACATGATTTTTTCCACTTCATTTATTGGAGAGAACCTCTCCATTATGTTAGCTTCTGTTATGAGAACTCAATTACAATGTATAGGCCAAACCATAAACCAACAATATTTAACTTATCAGAAAGACTTGTAAATATGTATCGCTATTTTAACAAAATTAACAACAAAATGTTTCTAAATCATTTGCCTTAATGGTATGTATGTTTCCGTTTAGAATTGGTTACACAACATGAGATATCCAGTAAGTTCGAAGCATTTCCTAAAGATAAAACTAGTATCACACATTCGACACTTTTATGTGGAACTTCGCAAGATAAAATGAAACACCAAATTTATGCCACTGATACTCCCTCATGTCCTGTTGCATCATTCAAAAAATTAAACCATAAGAATCATGCTTTCTACCAGCTTCCTCACAAGACTGTCATTGTTGGTGATCCATGTTTATACACTTTAAGACCACTTTGTCACAATCCTCTTTCAAAGATGATGAAAACATTTCCCAAGGGATCCCAAGTTAGTCGCACTTGTACCAATCATTGCTTAAGGCCACCATTGTCAATCTTTTGTCGCATACGGTAAAAAAACCAAAAACAAAACAACTGTCCCATTTGCCTCTTTCCAAATTTCAAACTATTACGTAACCGCCAACAACTACATCCAAGAAATAAGTAAGACAGACCCTTCCATTATAGTGTTGCCAGGGGATACAGGACCACGGGACACCAAACAATAGGCTGGTTTCTGTCATGCATCGGTGGGCTTATGAAAACCATGCTGTTACATAGTAAATGATGGCAATGAACAAATAGTTGTTTTGTTTGGACAGAATATTTTTTGTTGCATTCTTTAAAACCAAATGCGAAAATAAACTACCACCCCTTTCACAGACAAGTTCAATTTTCCTCTCATTTATGCCCTGTCTTCCACAGAACGAAGATGTTCGATTTTAGATCGGTTATGGTAGAATGGAGACAGATAAACGTACTGTTTTTGAAAATTAGATAAATGTTTCACCGAATTGATAGTCTCTTAATTAATCATTTTAAAATGAAAACGGAGATTAGATTAATGCTAGTTCTAATTGATAATCTCTAAATGTCATTTGAAACACATATTGATAGCCTCTAAATTAATCATTTGTAGCTGAACGAGGTTTCAAATGAAATTTAGAGACTATCAATTCTGTCTAATATTTATGTCAATCGCCTCATTCTGTCATGTGTCAATCAGAAGGTTGCAGAATTTTCTCAACTGACGAGGTTTTCTTAAAACATACAACACAAGGTTATTCTTCCTACTTGTGATATATAATTCAAACCTGATGTGCAGTAAGTTTCGAGTGTACATAAAGCATTTTAGTTTGGCTATATTACAGCCCCTGTTAATATATTTAATCCTTTTAGTAAACTAACCCTTTTGTTATTTTCTGATTGAAAACAAAAGCCTAAAAAATTTAAGAGGATAAGTCCTTTACTTCTTTATATCATCATCGTCATTGTTGTTGTCGAGATCATCATCATCATCATCATCATCATCATCATCATACCAGTATTATCAGTTGTGGTGTTTCATCCCACAGATAACAGACTACGAGGCCGTCCACCCTGTAAGGAGCTGGACAGATGTCAAGCGGCGAGTTGGACCATACCGACGGTGCTACGTCTTCACCCACAACAGCATGCCTAGGGAACCTGTCGTTGTGCTCCATACAGCCCTTACAGACAACATCTCATCATCAATACATGTGAGGAGGGTTGATCTGGAAGTTGGTGTTTTGACGAAAAATAGATACAGAAACTGTCTGCTCGTTTGTCACATTCCGCGACTGGAGCATGATTTATACAATCCAGCAACATTGTGCAGAATAATGGAATCAAACTTTTTGTTGATCTTGATGCGCATTTAACAAAAAAACAATATATATATATATACACTTTCATCCATAGCTTGTAAACGGATTGAAAAAATCAGGCAAGTGAGTTTGTTAAAAACTTTCCCCTGTTCAACCAGCAGAAAATGGGTACCTGGTGGGATAAGTCTTATGACTATGACGTTTTAGTGCCAAAAGGCAGCCTGGGTTATCTGGGGTAGTAATGTCCATCATGTTGTATGTACTTAGAGCATGTCCATGCGGTGTGGAGCACAGTGTTATTCAGAAAATGGAAAGGTGTTAACACGTTATAAAAGAGGGTGAATGGACACATTTCTGAATTACAACTGTGTTTTTTCTAGCACATCTTAGCAAAATGAGATTAACTGTCGATGTAATGGATTTCCCAAAACATAATTAAATAATGAGCCAAATCCCATTGCCGAATTAGCGAAAACAGCAATGTGTGTTGTGGCCGCCATGGAAATTGGTCACATGACAGATGGTTTGATACAAAACAGATTACCGTGAAACGACTCGGAAAGAAATAATACAGCAGTATTTTATTTATTCATTTAGATTTTATTCACCAGTACATCATGAAGCCGAATAGTCACTAACACTCAATCATCTCATTCACAAATAACCCGCTTGTTTGAAATCACAAAGAGCTTCATATACAGTATAAGTGATTAGGCCAAATCGTCAGAATTCGGAACATAAGACTGATGTGTTTTTCATCTCTTCGGGGAGTAAACGGATTACTGTGTACTAGTATATCGCACAGATAGAGATTTCCTGTGAGTAAGCAATAATCGCCGCCTGACAGGTTAAGCCACTCTGTTTGTTTTCACTGCTATTAGTGGCGGCCAAAGAGACAGCTGGCAGTTCCGGCAATTACTGATTGCGCGAATAATTGACCGCGCGAAGTAGTCTAAACTGTCAATTCCGCGAAAATTGCACCACGCGAAAATAAGTACGTTTACAGTAAATGATTTGAATACTTCTGAATCTCAGAATGTTTGAACTAAAAGTAACAAATTTGTTCCTCAGTCCATCATCCAGTCTCCGGGGTTCCGAGGCAGCACCAGCTCTTCCCCTGAGGTGCCTCATCCCGAGGTCCTAGAGTCTCCCACAGAACATGAAGCCGAGGACCCTGCCAAAATAACCACCGCCGTCTTCTACTCCATCACGTCCACACAGAAAGGTAGGAGCATCATTCAAGCTGGGTGGTAAATCATGTGTCAGGAGTTGCTATTCTGAGTTTTGTCCCCTTGTTTCTCCAGGCAGAGATGCCAACCTCTAAGATTTAATCATAGTCGCTACGAATTTTAGCCTCAAACTACGTCAATACGATTACACTAGAAATTCTACAAAATTTGAAGAAAATTCATTGAAATTCAGATATATAGACAAAAACTTTTTTGTTGATTAAATACATTTTCGCCAAAAAGAGACAAGAAGAAATCTAATGCTGATACGTGTAATTTGGAAATCTGGTGTTGAAGGTATGTGAAATTGAATCTCACTCTTCATTAGTGTCATATTATCTTTCTCAGAATCTATAATGATTTTAAGTATTTAGTTGACTACTAATTTTATGGTCAAACTACTAATTTTGATCCTTGACACTACTATTTGCAACCCTTTGGGGTTGGCTTCTTTATCCAGAATCTGCTGATCAGTAAGTTCAGATTTGTTTGATTACAATTCTTGGTTTTCTTGTCGTGTTCCATCATAGTGGTAAACGTCTCTGACCTGTGCCCATGAGCATTGTGGGTAAGAAAACAGGACCCCCGGCAACCCATGTTTGTTGCAAGAGGTGATCTGGTGGTCAGGCTAGGTGTCTTGCTTGATGGTGTGTCACTGAGTCACATCTACATTTGATTATATAGTTGTTACTCTGTTGTCTCTGAGTGATGAGGGGCGGTGGGGTAGCCTAATGGTTAAAGCGTTGGCTTATCACTCCAAAGACCCGGGTTCGAATCCCCACATGGGCACAATGTGTGAAGCCCATTTCTGGTGTACCCGCCGTGATGTTGCTGGAATATTGCTAAAAGCGGTGTAAAACCAAACTCAGTCAGTCAGTCTGAGTGATGAATAACTGATACTTTCACAACAGATTCTTTTTCAGAAAAAACTATCATATGAGTGAGTGAGTGAGTGAGTTGTGTTCAATGCTACTTTTAGCATCATTAGGCCATAATACAAACATGACAGGATTTATACCTTGTGCCCCTGTGTTGAATCACACCGACCCCTCTGTCCAGAGTTTCATAGTTCCGTGTTATCAGCAGTAGAGGTGTGCAGTATGGCCAGTGTAAAGATCCACCTAAATTCGAATATGTATCACAATACATTTAAAAATTACTGGTTGCATTCATGCATAAGTTCATCTTGATGGCAAACAAGAAATATACAACCAGCTAAACTGAAATCATGAAATTCTCAAATTAGGAACTGATTCCTGTGACTTAAAAAAGAAGATTGTTTCTTGAGCAGCATTTTGTTTGCCTATATATTAATGAAACACTTGATAATATTCCAACTACGTGACGGCAGTCTGTAAATATAATCAGGTGTGGACCAGACAGAAAATATGATAAATATCATAACTATCGATCTACACAATCGGGATATGACGACATGTGTCAACCAAGTCAGCAAGCCTGACCACCCGTTAGTTGCCTTTTATAACAAACATTGGATGTGGAAGACCCAGATCTTCATTTGTGCTTCGACCAGCTCCCTGTATGTAGTATGTAGCCATAATAGGAATGTAACATGTTATATTTGGGATTACACTTTCTTTGTAAAGTACAGATTCTAGTACTTTTGTTGGGTTGAGTCCCATCCGGGATTCGAACCCACACCCTCAGAGTCAGGCACCTAATTGCCAGCACACAAAGTCAGATGCCAAGACCGCTCAGCCACCGCGGCTTCCACAAAAATGGAAGTCAGACAACTGGTAGTCTAGACTGCGGGCTTTGTGTACCCCTCTGATAAGTGTTAATTGGCATGGCTTCCACGGCCGAAAGCTATGAAATACACAATGCCATTTAGAAAGTGATCATTTTCGTGAAAGCCACGGTGGCTGAGCGGTCTAGGCATCTGACTTTGTGTGCTGGCAATTAGGTGCCTGACACTGAGGGTGTGGGTTCGAATCCTGGATGGGACTCAACCCAACAAAAGTACTAGAATCTGTACTTTACAAAGAAAGTGTAATCCCAAATATAACATAGGTTACATTTGACCACTTTCTAAATGGCATTGTGTATTTCATAATAGGAATGCTAGATAAATATGGAGGGGAAGTCTAATGTATTTTATTTTTAAATTCACATTCATAACCTATTCCATATGAAAGAATGTACACTATATTATAGTCTGTATCAAAATACAAGAATAGTCATTGCAGTAAAATGCAATACATAATTCAAGCCAATATTCATCATGCTCCAATGCTCAATAGTTTTACCTTTGTATTTGTGTTTTTCAGGTCTCCAGAGTGTTGATCTCGGAAACTACTTGATAAAAGAGCTACTGAAAGAGCTCCAGGTCTAATACCCACAAATAAACAAATTCTTCCAGTATGTCTCCTGTTCCAGGCTTCAGAGTGTGGCTGATAGGGGAGATAAACAAGGCACTACACACATCAGTGGTAGGTCTCCTGGTGTAGAGACAGTGTAGAAACGATAGGGGAGATAAACAAGGCACTACACCTCAGTGGTAGGTCTCCTGGTGTAGAGACAGAGTAGTAGAAACTTGATAGGGGAGATAAACAAGGCACTACACACATCAGTGGTAGGTCTCCTGGTGTAGAGACAGTGTAGTAGAAATGATAGGGGAGATAAACAAGGCACTACACATCAGTGGTAGGTCTCCTGGTGAGAGACTGTGTAGTAGAAACGATAGGGGAGATAAACAAGGCACTACACATCAGTGGTAGGTCTCCTGGTGTAGAGACAGTGTAGTAGAAAATGATAGGGGAGATAAACAAGGCACTACACATCAGTGGTAGGTCTCCTGGTGTAGAGACAGTGTAGTAGAAACGATAGGGAGATAAACAAGGCACTACACATCAGTGGTAGGTCTCCTGGTGTAGAGACAGTGTAGTAGAAACGATAGGGGAGATAAACAAGGCACTACACATCAGTGGTAGGTCTCCTGGTGTAGAGACAGTGTAGTAGAAACGATAGAGGGGGAGATAAACAAGGCACTACACATCAGTGGTAGGTCTCCTGGTGTAGAGACAGTGTAGTAGGAAACCGATAGGGGAGATAAACAAGGCACCCTACACATCAGTGGTAGGTCTCCTGGTGTAGAGACAGTGTGGTAGAAACGATAGGGGAGATAAACAAGGCACTACACATCAGTGGTAGGTCTCCTGGTGTAGAGACAGTGTAGGTAGAAATGATAGGGAGATAAACAAGGCACTACTAATATCAGTGGTAGGTCTCCTGGTGTAGAGACAGTGTAGTAGAAATGATAGGAGATAAAACAAGGCACTACACATCAGTGGTAGGTCTCATGGTGTATAGAGACAGTGTAGTAGAAACGATAGGGAGATAAACAAGGCACTACACATTGATCAGTGGTATGTCTCCTAGCTGTAGAGACAGTGTAGTAGAAACGATAGGGGAGATAAACAAGGCACTACATCAGTGGTAGGTCTCCTGGTGTAGAGACAGTGTAGTAGAAACGATAGGGGAGATAAACAAGGCACTACACATCAGTGGTAGGTCTCCTGGTGTAGAGAGCCGTTGTAGTAGAAATGATAGGGGAGATAAAACAAGGCACTACACATCAGTGGTAGGTCTCCTGGTGTAGAGACAGTGTAGTAGAAACGATAGGGGAGATAAACAAGGCACTACACATCAGTGGTGGGTCTCCTGGTGTAGAGGCTGTGTAGTAGAAACGATAGGGAGATAAACAAGGCACTACACATCAGTGGTAGGTCTCCTGGTGTAGAGACAGTGTAGTAGAAACCTTGATAGGGAGATAAACAAGGCACTACACATCAGTGGTAGGTCTCCTGGTGTAGAGACAGTGTAGTAGAAACGATAGGGAGATAAACAAGGCACTACACATCAGTGGTAGGTCTCCTGGTGTAGAGACGGTGTAGTAGAAAATGATGGGGGAGATAAACAAGGCACTACACATCAGTGGTAGAGGTCTCCTGGTGTAGAGACAGTGTAGTAGAAACGATAGGGGAGATAAACAAGGCACTACACATCAGTGGTAGTCTCCTGGTGTAGAGACAGTGTAGTAGAAACGATAGGGAGATAAACAAGGCACTACACATCAGTGGTAGGTCTCCTGGTGTAGAGACAGTGTAGTAGAAACGATAGGGGAGATAAACAAGGCACTACACATCAGTGGTAGGTCTCATGGTGTAGAGACAGTGTAGTAGAAACGATAGGGAGATAAACAAGGCACTACACATCAGTGGTAGGTCTCCTGGTGTAGAGACTGTGTAGTAGAAACGATAGGGGAGATAAACAAGGCACTACACATCAGTGGTAGGTCTCCTGGTGTAGAGACAGTGTAGTAGAAATGATAGGGGAGATAAACAAGGCACTACACATCAGTGGTAGGTCTCCTGGTGTAGAGACAGTGTAGTAGAAACGATAGGGGAGATAAACAAGGCACTACATCGGTGGGTAGGTCTCCTGGTGTAGAGACAGTGTAGTAGAAACGATAGGGGAGATAAACAAGGCACTACACATCAGTGGTAGGTCTCCTGGTGTAGAGACTGTGTAGTAGAAACGATAGGGGAGATAAACAAGGCACTACACATCAGTGGTAGGTCTCCTGGTGTAGAGACAGTGTAGTAGAAATGATAGGGGAGATAAACAAGGCACTACACATCAGTGGTAGGTCTCCTGGTGTAGAGACAGTGTAGTAGAAACGATAGGGGAGATAAACAAGGCACTACACATCAGTGGTGGGTCTCCTGGTGTAGAGACTGTGTAGTAGAAACTGTGCCCTTGTACTCTGCTTCTGTGTACAGGTCACCCAACTATGAAAGTGTTGTGGTGTGACAAAGTAAGTGGAGTTTCTGTGATCCTGATACTGCCCTTAATTGCCCCTGCTGTCATAATTTCCTGGAGGTTGATTGCCCCTATAATAATAATTTCCTGGAGTTTGATCACCCCTACAATGATAACTTCCTGCAGTTTGATCACCCCTACAATTATTTCCTTTAGTTTGATTGCCCCTACAATAATAATTTCCTGGAGTTTGATTGCCCCTACAATAATAGTTTCCTGGAGTTTGATCACCCCCACAATAATAGTTTCCTGGAGTTTGATCCCCCCTAAAATAATAGTTTCCTGGAGTTTGATCCCCTACTATAATAGTTTCCTGGAGTTTGATCGCCCCCACAATAGTAGTTTCCTGGAGTTTAATCACCCCTACAATAATAGTTTCCTGGAGTTTGATCCCCCTACAATAATAGTTTCCTGGAGTCTGATCACCTGCAATAATAGCTTCCTGCAGTTTGATCACCCCTACAATAATTTCCCGGAGTTTGATTGCCTCTACAATAATAATTTCCTGGAGTTTGATCACCCCTACAATAATAGTTTCCTGGAGTTTGATCACCCCTACAATAATAGTTTCCTGGAGTTTTATGCCCCCACAATAATAGTTTCCTGGAGTTTGATCACCTCCTCAGTAATAGTTTCCTGGAGTTTGATGCCCCCACAATAATAGTTTCCTGGAGTTTGATCACCCCCACAATAATAGTTTCCTGGAGTTTGATCCCCCTACAATAATAATTACCTGGAGTTTGGTCACCCCTACAATTAAAATTTGCTGTAGTTTGATTGCCCCTACAATAATATTAATTGATCGCTCCAAATGTTATGGTATGTAATAGTTTAAATGCCTGCACAGTCATGGTGTCCAGAAATTCAACCGCCCATATTGTCTTAGTTTCCTGGCGTCTACTGCCACAACTGTCATGGCGCCCATGGGTTTTACCTGCCTGTTCTGACATGTTTTCCAGAACCCCTGTTCACCTTGATCATGATTCTAGGTCTGTCAGCATGCTTGTGGGTTTCACCAAAGTAGTAAGCATCAGACCTGCATCAGTTCAGTCTTTCCTCTCACATCATGCAAAGAAAAATCTTGATATATAAAATTAGAATAGCTTTCAAAGCAGTGTGTATCCATCCAACTCTTCACATTTCAGATATCGGAGAGGTGATAGAAGACAACCTCCTCACTAGCTCTGAGCTGGAACAGCTACAACCTCCGGGGAAGAGTCCAAATCCTCTGGAGACATTTAAGCATTGTATACAGAGTCACCAGTGGCTGAACAACCCGACCTCAGCGATATGCTCGTTAAGAGACCGCTGATGAGGTTGTGTGCCCAGTACCTGTATGTTGAAAAGAGGAGGATATGCACTCAATCCTGTTGGTGAGAATAGCTGCTCTCTCACTTTAAACATTCTAAATTCTGTTGGTGAGAATAGCTACTCTCTCTTTTAAACATTCTTAATTCTGTTGGTTGAAAGATAAAAAAATCTCAGAATATCAGATCGAAGTTCTTCTGCAAAACAAAGATCTGAGTACATGCCATCTCAGGTCATGTCAGAACAAATTCTTCCCAAACTTTGACAGACCGATGAAATGCTTAACAAAGAGGTTGACATTAGCCAGTCAGAAAGCAGTTTCCTGAGCTGTAACGGCACTAATCTCAAATGTTCAAAAATGAACAAAAGAACATCCTGGAATGTCTTAATATATGGCCTAGATTTTTTGGCGATACTTCCCAAATACTACCGGATCTAATTATTGTGTTTCAAATGTTTATCCCATTAAAGCAAGAGAGATATCCAAAGATTTTTGAAGGACTTTACAAAGTCCTTAAGTATAATACTTTATGGATGACACTGCTTTATTATGTTATGATGCGACGGTGGGGTAGCCTAGTGGTTAAAGCGATTGCTTGTCACGCCGAAGACCCGGGTTCGATTCCCCACATGGGTACAATGTGTGAAGCCCATTTCTGGTGTTCCCCCGCCGTGATGTTGCTGGAATATTGCTAAAAGCGGCGTAAAACCAAACTCAGTCAGTCAGTCTTTATTATATTATGATGTGACGTTTAGGTATAGCTTCTTATACCGTTGTCAAGCAAGAGTAAAGTAATACAGCACAGAACTGACTCATATACATGTAACAGTAACTGTCGTAGGGAATACCCTTTGTAAAACCTATCAGGGTTGGATGATAAGGAAAGACATTCATGATCTGGTAGACGATGCTCTGATTGGTCAGATATAAAGTTGTTCTGACATGGGATGTCCACAATTGTTTTTGTATTAATAGCGAGAACTTAGAACTGATTTCAATGTGATCTGATATAAATCATTCAAGTGTATTTATGACTCCAGACTCATCGGTCTAATCTATATTAGTTTACAAAAACTTGGTGCAGGATCAAATATTGTGCTCTGGTAGATGTGTTTATTTCAATTTCTTGAAAACCTGTGATTGTAATAAAATGCCACGTGACAACAAATGTCCGACACGGTGTGTGCTAGGCAATTGGCATGTGCAGTTTAAGTAGGTGGCAGTCATGTGACCTGCCTCTACAATTGCAGGGACTACATGTGACCAAGCCCAGGATGTACATGACAGTCAATTGGTAATGGGTCTGTTTAAACGAACTTCAGAAAAAGCTATTGAAAGTTAGAAGGTTTCGTGAAATTTTAGTGACAAAAACACAGATTGGGCCAGACCAATTTTATTTCTTGTTTTACGGATCCACCAGTCATATTTGTTCAAATATAATGAAAAAATAAAAATGAATTTTTCCCGCACCAAAAATAAAATCCAAATGTTGATGTGATATAAGTGAAATACCTTGGAAATCAGTGTGAAACCTAAACTCACTCAACTTAATTTTAGTTGATATAAACAAACCAAAAGAGTTAACATGGAAACATGTGGGTTTTTGCTTTGACTGTTGATTTTTTTTTCCCTCCTGCCTTTAGGTTTTCTGATGACACAAATCTGTAAAACAAGAAATACAATTGGTCTGGCCTTACTAACAATTTTGTCCTTTTTGTGACTTTTTTTAAAGGAAAAGTGTTTTTAGTAAGGTGTGTGTTGGTATTGACAATAAGCTATTGGACTTTCTTCTCTATAATCCTCAGCCACGTTTCATCTGAAGAATGGCGCCGTGATGTGGAGACTGAACTGGTTGGCCGATGCCTCCATGCGTGGACTCACTCAGTCGTGTGGTATGATGGTCAATTACCGATACTTCCTTGACACCACAGATGAAAACAGTCAGCAATATCTGGACAACCACACAATAGCTGCCTCGAAGCAGATCATAGACTTAGCATCAGGTGTCACTCCACAACAATAAAGTTTCACTTTTGTGGGCAGTGTAATAGTGCGTTGGTGTCACGTGCAAGAACATAGATGTCTGCCAGGGAACTGATTCACACAGTTCTGAGTGTAAAATCAAAGAACAGGAGGTTTAAGTGCTACTGGTGACATCAGCGTTTGACCGTATTAGGATATTCATCACTGCCAGGAAATGTAGGGTGGATCACGTCTCATTGTCGTCAGACATCAGAGATTTGGATGTCTCTGCAGTTCCAAGAAAATATGAAGACTGTTACCATGGATTCGGGATGGAACAATTGTTTGGATAGTCAGCTGAAGAAGTAGGATCATGGATTTTAGGAAAATACCATGAAGGAACATGGCTGAGGACTCAATTAACATACAAGGTGTTTGAGAAAGGGAATTTGGAGTAAGAGGACATACTTCTTTTCATTATTCTAGAGTATACTAGAAATCATGTTTACAGCTATTTCTCATCACTTTTTCTCTTGCATGTTGTGCTTGAATTATTTTTTTTGAAATTACAGATGACCTGTTTCAAGTCTTGACATAGAATCTAATGTTATTGTAAATCTTGGCCAAAAAGTTATAATGTTTAGTTAAAAACAATTAAAAATGATCAGATCAGAATTTTTCTTGTTTCAATTCAGTTTGTCCGTTATTCAGTGAGTAAAGCATATCCAATTATACAGTTCTATGTTTAAAAATGATTTTTAAATAAATATTCTGTCCCCTTCTATGTTCATACGTATAGGGGAATTCAAATGAATATATAATAATGTTCTGTGTTAATGTCCAACATTTCTTCAATTTACCCAGTGACCTTCCAGTGCCAATAAAGAGGGAGAGAAATATAACTGAAATGGATTATCTTATGATGTGTTTTGTGGCTGTTCCTTGGCAATAGTATTTGTTTTGTTTTTTTGTTGTCTCAGCAATGTTCCAGCTATATCATGGCAGTCTGTAAATGACAAATGATCTATGCAATTGGGATATGATGACATGTATCAACCAAGTCAGCGAGTCAGACCACCTGATCCCGATAGCCAAACGGCATGTCTGTGGCATCTTAGACATTTGTAATCCAAAATTGTCTGTCCGTAATCATTCTGTTTCTGGAGCATAACTCAAAAACTATTTTTTAACAAGCATTGGTACATTTGTCATTTACAGATTTCTGTACTATTTATTTTTCTTGATTTCCATGGAAACAGTTGGACTAGTCTCAAAAGGGAGGGGTGGGCTTAGTTTCCGGAGCACGACTCGAAAACTGTTCAATATCTTTCTACATTTATATTTTTCATGAGTGCCATGGAAACGATTTGGACTTAGTCCCCAAAAATCAAGTTGGACTTTAAGTAACTGTCAGATGATTTGTTCCTTCAAGTTTTGGGGGGCCGGGGGGATTTTTCATCTTCCTAGGAGTCAGAGGATGACTCTTGTTAAGATAGGCTGTCATATATCAAAGGTCCAAGTTTCCAAAAGATACATGGAAGTTTAGGATATGTCCAGTAAAATAGTGATACATAACTATGAACTATTTTCTTTGTGTACATAGCTCTCAAAAGCTATCTCAGCAGTACAAAATTATGGCAAGGACAAGTAGAAATCCAATGATAGTAGTCCTCATTGAAATACAACAGGGTCCTACAAATTATCAGCCATGAAATTTAAGGCCTTTCAGGGCCTTTCTCAAGGCCTAACAGCAATTTGAAGGCTCTATAGAAACACATATAAGACATGAGTAGTTGCATAAACATGAGGTATGTCAAATGTGGGACCGACCATCTCAGCTACATTGCTGTGCTCGGAAAGTTTTGCTTTGCAATGGAGACTAATTAGCATATATTGTCATTAAAGGGTATTTGTTATGTACAGTGGAAACCCTCTACAATGGCATGGGCTGGGACCGGCAATAAATGCCGGTATAGCGGGCGTGCCGGTTTAGAGAACTTTCCCTTTTTAACCTGAGATTGATATTCCGTGCACCATCCTTAACCATACTCCACCGTACTTAACCGTAATCCACTGTGTTGTTGATATACGTTCCGCTAATCTTCAAATTCCATCTTGACACGGCGAGCGACTGACAAATTGTGAGACGCCAATTATTTAATTGATACAAGTGACGCGTGCCACTCACCAATGTACATCACCGACTTATGCTTAACCACCATACTTAACTGTAATCCACTGTGTTGTTAATACACCTTCAGCCAATCAACAGGAGAGCCAAGATAGAGGATGCGGTTTTTGTCAAGCGTTAATTACTGTACAAACAGTCAATTAGGCGGTCTTTATCGCGTGCGAAAATCGGAATAGACTGGCCTTAAATTCTAGTGCCGATATTGAGAGCATGCGGATTGGAGGGATGCGGTTTTCAGGGCTTCCACTGTATAAGTCTCCTGTTAAATCATTACTTCCGAGTTTGGCTAAATTTAGGGCCTTTTCAGGGCAAATCAATGGCTTTCAAGGCTTAAAGCGTATTTTGGGGGCTTTTAGGACAAGACATACAAATTTAGAGGCTTTGAAGCAATCCCTGTACAACATTTGAGGGCTATGATTCTGAAACTGTTCTGAATTCCTCAGGTTTACTATAAATTGGAACTGAATAAAACTTGCATGATCTCTGAAGTTGTATTTTTGTTGTTTTTATGAAACAAAATATTTAGTTCAATGGGCATGACAGCAGCATTTTGGTGCAATAAAATTTCGAGAGAAATTAGAAATATAGTGACAATTGTGTAACACATTACAAGTTGTTGAGTGTATACAATTTTAGCCTTAACTTTGCAGTGTTAATTGTTCTTTTTGGCAATATGTTCTTCATCATTAGTTATTTCCGTCAAGATCGTGAGAAAGGATTCTAAGGAAATAGTATTTGCCTTAAATATTAGCAGTACTGCGATGATTGTATGACTGCTCCTACAATGATTGTGATCATAACTAAATACCACTGCAGTGTGTGTCAAAGTGATATTCACAGGAAGGTATTGGTTTGGAAGTCCATGTCTGACCAGAATATTCCAACATCATCTCAAAAAATTCAGGTTCAGAATTACAAAAAAAAAACAAAGAATGCTATCAGCCATTTTCATCATGTATGTAACCTTTGTAAATATTACTCACTGAATGAGCCTGGGATGTCTTGTAACTAAGCTGGTGCATTATTTTGAATGTATATGGATGTTTTGTAAACAGTTCACACACTTATCATACTTTATTTATTATTATTATTTTATTGTTATAGGATATTTATATAGCGCACATATCCACGCAACTAGTGCATGCTCAAGGCACTAGTATTTTTTTCCCTCGATCATTGGATGTCAATCTCAACTGCACATCGCATTATCAATCTCAACTCCCTGGGAGCCTGGCGCCTTAGACAGCTCGTCCACCGTGCCCCCAATACATCATACATCATGTTCACTATTATGTACTGTACACAGCTTTTAACTTTAGTTTGCAAAGAAAGTTATAACTATGTTCCCACTTTCATTCTTCGACGGTTGAGTGTTATTTGGACATGAATTTGGTGTTAAACAGTGTTGTTGTACTTCATTACTTCTGGTATGATTCAGTGGAAGTACATGACTGTGTGTTTAACGATAGTTAGTTGTTGGGAATCTGTCACTACTGATGTGAGTCAGGGATGTAAGTTACCATATTTTGATGCTTATGGAGTTAAGTGTAATGTAGCTAAGATACATAGCGTTCACTGACATGAACTTCATGTCAGTGAACACTATGTATCTTAGCTCATTGTAATGAAGAAAATTCATAGACAGTGAAGGACAAATCCATCATAATATTGAACCTTCTAGAAGATATTTAGACTATACAAGTGGACAAACTCGTGCCTCGCTGATCTAACATCACATGAAGACTCGTGGTTGTCACACCTTGGATATCCAGCACAGCCTGTTTTGGAAGCTTGATAGTCTGTCTCACAGTCCCTGAACCACATTATTTTCCCTACTGCCAAGCTCTCTCTGCAGTGCTAAAACCCTAAATGAAGCAAGTCTAGATTTCCTCAGGTTCAGGAATCTCTGGCCTCCCTAGGGCTCCTTTTCAATATAAATGGGCTTGTTTGTTACTATCAAAATTATATATATTCAGAGACTAAGCCTTAGTCTAGAAGCTTGACTACTGTTGCTGCAAGAAGTGTTGGAACTAAGGGACATAACTCCTAGGTGACTGAGTGTACTGTTCAGTTCCATCAGCATTGTTCCTTCTGAGCATGCCAAAGACTCTCTGTGAAAGTCATTATCAAAGAGAGACATCATCAGTGTTGCATGTGACAATTTTCACAAGAGTAATTAAAAATGGTAAACTATAGTTAGTAATTACGTAACAAATTCAAATGGACCACTAATTTTAGTTCGTTGTAACAGTAGTTCGTTTCACACATTTTGATCGAAATATACAGCAAGTGTCCTGGACCAGTTCGTTCTATCCACCAGTTCGTTCTATCCACCAGTTCATTCTATCCACCAGTTAGTTCTATCCACCAGTTCGTTATAAGCGTGTTATTTTTACTGGCAGTTTGCTGTACATCGTTCCTCACACTTGCGTCCCCTAACCAATTATTTTATATTTCCTCACACAGCACGAAAATGCCGATTTTATTTCAGGCACGACACGAAAAATCCGGTATGGTGTTGGTATTGATGTTGATGAACTGATGCCCAAGGTTTCCAAATCGTTTAGTTATTTTTACAATTATGCCTGGTTTTGAAAAATGTTAAAATATAAAATTCAAAATTGTTAAAATACAAACCCACCAACGTCCATACACCTCCAATATCCTGGCAGATTTGTTGTTATAAACTACAGTCAGTTTGGGTCAAAATGATACTAATCACAGTCGGTTCATGATCAAACATTCATTTCAAGGCAGAATGTAATGAAAACATCAGACCAATTCTGGAAAAAAAAGTTTCATAACTTTTGTCTCCAAAATGAAAAAAACGTTACGTAACAAATTATCATCATTATCCCCCCAGCATGTAATGCGGGGGGATATAGTCGTCGCCTCGTCCGTCTGTCCGTCTGTCCGTCCGTCCGTCCGTAATCATTTTGTTTCCAGAGCATAACTCAAAAACTGTTCAATATTTTTCCAAAAAAATTGGTAGATATATCAAACAGAACCTTAGGTGGTGCCTTTTGCTATTTACATATTTTTGTCATTTTTATCCCATCGGCATATAATGCGGTGGGATATAGTCGTCGCCTCGTCCGTCTGTCCGTCCGTCCGTAATCATTTTGTTTCCGGAGCATAACTCAAAGACCGTTCGATATTTTTCAACCAAAATTGGTAGATATGTCAAACATAACCTAAGGTGGTGCCTTTTGCTATTTACAGATTATTGTCATTTTTATTTTTCTCGGTTTCCATGGAAACGTTTTGGACTTAGTCTTAAAGAAGGGTGGGCTTCGTTTCCGGAGCATAACTCAAGAACCGTTCAGTATTTTTCAACAAAACTTGGTAGATATATCAAACAGATCCTAGAGTGGTGCCTTTTGCTATTCACAGATTTTTGGCATTTTTATTTTTCCCGGTTTCCATGGAAACGATTCGGACTTAGTCCCAAAAGTGAGAGATGGGCTTCGTTTCCGGAGCATAACTCAAGAACCGTTCAATATTTTTCAACAAAACTTGGTAGATCTATGAAACAGAACCTTAAGTGGTGCCTTTTGCTATTTGCCGATTTTTGGCATTTTAATTTTTCCCAGTTTCCATAAAAACATTTTGAACTTAGTCTCAAAAAGTAAGGATTGCTTTCGTTTCCGGAGCATAACTCAAGAACCATTCAATATTTTTCAACAAAACTTGGTAGATATATCAAACAGATCCTAAAGTTGTGCCTTTTGCTATTTGCAGATTTTTGGCATTTTTATTTTTCCCGGTTTCCATGGAAACGATTCGGACTTAGTCCCAAAAGTGTGGGGTGGGCTTCGTTTCCGGAGCATAACTCAAGAACCGTTCAGTATTTTTCAACAAGACTTGGTAGATATATCAAACAGAACCTTAAGTGGTGCCTTTTGCTATTTGCAGATTTTTGGCATTTTTATTTTTCCCGGTTTCCATGGAAACGATTCGGACTTAGTCCCAAAAGTGAGGGGTGGGCTTCGTTTCCGGAGCATAACTCAAGAACCGTTCAATATTTTTCAACAAAACTTGGTAGATGAATGAAACAGAACCTTAAGTGGTGCCTTTTGCTATTTGCAGATTTTTGGCATTTTAATTTTTCTTGGTTTCCATGGAAACATTTTGGACTTAGTCTCAAAAAGTAAGGATTGCTTTCGTTTCCGGAGCACAACTCAAAAACCGTATAATATTTTTCAACAAAACTTGGTAGATATATCAAACAGATCCTAAAGTTGTGCCTTTTGCTATTTGCAGATTTTTGGCATTTTTATTTTTCCCGTTTTCCATGGAAACGATTCGGACTTAATCCCAAAAGTGAGGGGTGGGCTTCGTTTCCGGAGCACAACTCAAAACCTCTGTATATCTTTCAATAAAACTTGGCAGATATGTGAGGCAGATCTTGAAGTGGTGCCTTTTGCTATTTGCAGATATTTGTGATTTATTATTTTCTCGGTTTCCATGGAAATGATTCGAACTTAGTCTCAAAAAGGAAAGGATGGGTTTTGTTTCCGGAGCACAACGCGAAAACTTCTTAATATCTTTCAGCAAAACTTGGCAGATATGTGAGGCAGATCCCAAAGTGGTGCCTTTTGCTATTTGCAGATTTCTGTCATTTATTTTTTTCATGATTTCCATGGAAACGATTTGCACTTAGTCTAAAATCAAGCTGGACTTTAAGTAACTGTCAGATGATTTGTTCTTTCAAAGATGTGGGGGCCGGGGGGATATGTCATCTTCTGATGACTCTTGTTATTTTTCTCGGTTTCCATGGAAACGTTTTGGACTTAGTCCCAAGGGGGGTGGGGGTTGGGGGGCTTCGTTTCCAGAGCATAACTCAAAAACCGTTTAATATTTTTCAACAAAACTTGGTTGATATATCAAACAGATCCTTAAGTGGTGCCTCTTGCTATTTGCAGTGTTTTGGCGTTTTTATTTTTCCCAGTTTCCATGGGAACGATTCAGACTTAGTCCCAAAAGGGAAGGGTGGGCGTCGTTTCCGGAGCATAACTCAAGAACCGTTCAATATTTTTCAACAAAACTTGGTAGATATTTCAAACAGAACTTGAATTGGTGCCTTTTGCTATTTGCAGATTTTTGACATTTATATTTTTTTTGGTTTCCATGGAAACGATTCGGACTTAGTCCCAAAAGTGTGGGGTGGGCGTCGTTTCCGGAGCATAACTCAAGAACCGTTCAGTATTTTTCAACAAGACTTGGTAGATATATCAAACAGAACCTTAAGTGGTGCCTTTTGCTATTTGCAGATTTTTGGCATTTTTATTTTTCCCGGTTTCCATGGAAACGATTCGGACTATGTCCCAAAAGTGAGGGGTGGGCTTCGTTTCCGGAGCATAACTCAAGAACCGTTCAATATTTTTCAACAAAACTTGGTAGATGAATGAAACAGAACCTTAAGTGGTGCCTTTTGCTATTTGCAGATTTTTGGCATTTTTATTTTTCTTGGTTTCCATGGAAA